TGTCGGGTGTGGGTGTGTCGGGTGTGGGTGTGTCGGGTGTGGGTGTGAGTGTAGCTAGTAAGAAGATTCACACCCCACACCCACACCCACACCCCAAAACATTCAGGATATTTCCAAAGTCATTAGATATTATCTATCAGCTGAATTTCAAGTCGAAGATTCAGTAAAATGATCATAGTTCGTCTCCTGAAACTTCTTGGCACGAGCGTTTTTTAGAAATTTTATAGTGTTATCAAAACTTCATGATGGTTTCAATATGAATTTAAACGACAAATTGCAGTTGGGATAATGACTAGACATCGGCGTGACCAACATTTTTTGGTCATGGTCACGTCACAGTCACGATCAGTTTGGTCACGGTTACGGTCACGGTCACGATCGTTGCCATCGTGACCGTGAGTCACGGTAGCCACGCCAGTTTCTATACGAACGACTATTTTCTTTTTTCTCAAAATAGCATAACCTTCTCTTCCGATAGGGGAACTCTATATTAGAAGGCTTTCCATAATAGAAGATCCCCTTGGAGAAATACGTGCGAGACTTAGTATAAGACTTTATTCAATTATCGAATTTTTCGAAAAATGACAACTTCAACCACTGGATTTACATCATAATATGCTTTGTTTTCAGAGTTTTCAGCTGAAAAATTTAACTAAGTGTTTTCAACATTTGATTTAGGCTGTTAAAATCCGAAAAATTCCTTCTCAAAGCATCAAAATCGCTTTGGCTTTCTGAACAATTTTTTTAGTTGCAAACTGTAAAAAGAAAAGAGACATTACCCAAGACCCTCTGGAAAACTTTTGGGATTAGACACAATAGGAAACCTAGGATCTCCTCGTGTGGAGAGGCAAAAGATAATATGACAGATAAACGAAAAAGATTAAGTATGAAAAAAATTGATGAATTTGTTTTTGAGAAAATTTATTAAAGTTCTTGAAAGTGTATCTGGCCAAAACCTGAATAGAAATGGGTGAAATCAGAACAAGTAGAGAAATGATCAATCGTCGAATAAGTTATCAGATAAAAGTAAAAAAAGTCGAAAGTATATGAAAATGACAAATCTTGTTCAAGGAGGTCATAATATTTTTTAATGGTACACTTTTTTTCTAAAATATTTCTATGCGAACAGTTTAAAATATATTAACACTGAGTACATTTTTTCTGGTATCGCGATTGTATTGATTCTATTCCTTCGTTTTAAGTTAGTATAATTAGAAAAGGATATTGATACATATTGAAAGAATACTAAATATAATATTTAATTCTCTAATAAAGTTTGAAAATAACTGCTTTATAGTTACATTGAAAATTTATCGTGACTGGTCGTGACCAGGTTTTGGTCACGGCCACGACTTTTTTTCGAAAAATGGTCACGATCGTGACGGTGACCGTGACTCACGGGAGTCACGGCGGTCACGCCGATGTCTAATAATGACTTCATAATTATTTCATTTCGTCACTGATTTATTAAGTCTTGTTTTCTATCCGATATATATTTTACGATTTCTCATTATACTAATTGCCTTTTTTTAATTTTTTTCAAAGATTTCTCCTAATAAAAGTAGTTTATGTTTTGTTGTATTTGTTTTATTAGATTCATTATTATTTGACGTTGTTGTTTTCATTAACTGTTGATTCTTTTTTTTATAAAATTAACTTTTATGGCATATTTTTAAATCATAAGATGATGATGTACTTTCAATCATTATTTATCTGAAATTTAAAAAAATCTATGTATTCGTATACAAATCTTCACTTGGCCTTATGAAATATCAAACAGATTAAGTTACTTGGCTCGTATAATTGCAAGTCCTTCAATCACTCCTTATCGTATGGCATATTATTCATTTAATTCATAATTCTGACCGTATGAAGCTGTATACAGTATTTTATTTGAAAGATCTTTTTTTAGAATTTTGTTCAATAAGATTATATGGTAAAAATTCTTGATCAATCCATAAATGATTATTATTTTGATTTGTCTAATTTGTAAAATAAGAATTTCCATGTAGAAAGAAATCAATCTTTTTCATTTCCTCTTTGCTTAATAGAAAAATTAAATTATTATTAATATTTGAAATAAAATTTGTTATGTCAGGATAAAGTTCACAAATATATGTTATTTCATCATACGGAGAAAATAATGTTGCTTAAATCATATTGAATTGTTAACATTGATATTATTCACTTAATACTTCAAGACTAGTATGATGTGTTGAACAGGTTGTTATGAATGGGTAAGGACGAAGAAAACGACGTCAATGAATATCAGATGATAACTTATAGTGTGAAATGTAACACATGAGAAAGAAATTTAAATCTTATTGAGTAAAAATAGAAAATAAGAATTATACTAATTACGAGGAAGATCTGTCGTAATGAAACTATAACTAATAACTTTGGCAACATATGTCAACTAATAGAAATTATGGATAAGACTGCAATACTAGTGCATGTTTTAGTTTTGGTTATTAGAATTTTATTTAGCTAATACTTTTAATGTAGCTTCGAAAAACTAGAAATGTCAAAAGGGAGAAACGAAGAGATTTTAATGAGCTGTATTGCATTGAAAGAACCTCTGAATACGTGAGAATTCTTTTGCGAATCAATACATATTTGATAAATTTATTCAAATTGCTACATCTCATTATGTATTGAATGATGCAAGCCAAATGATATTCTTGCAAGAGTTTACATTAAATATTGATAATACATATTTGAAAATGTCTTTACACATATTCAATCGAAAGCATACAACTCATGGCTGGAGGTTGAGTGACTCAGTGAGATTTATTTATTATGAAGATATATCTAGTATGTGTGAATGAAGATAAGAGTCTCAGCTATATTCACAACTTATATCAAGTACTTCCTTTTTCTTCATTTGCATAATTGTGAGCTAACTTGTCATCAAAGCTAATATTCAAATCAAGCAAAGAAAACATATGTGAATTGTTAACAGGAATAAAATGAATTTTCTAATCGAGCCCAATGAAAAAAAATATATACTTCATTTCTATATTCTTTTTATATACATGATTTGTTATATGAAAAGGATAAAGAAAAACTTGAACAATTTCAAATTCATGAGTAAATGATATTGAATAAAGTCTGAATTCACGCTTCTTTTGTTGGATGGCAATTAATGAAATTTGGATTTGTACACAACAGTATGATTACAGTTGAAACTTACAAGGAAACTTGTTCAGTTGCTTTTCTATTAAAACTGGACTAAACAATTTAGAATTTGTAAAATATGTCCATTTTTAGAGATTACGTGTTTTCAGAAAAGTCATCTTTTCGAGATTTGATCTGAAATTTTTGTGGACACAAAGAATTCGACTAGAGAGAGTTTCAAAAACCTAGATCCTCTAGAAAAAATTCTTTTAGAGTTTTTTTTAGAACTCTATTTAGTAGCTATAGACAAAAAATTATTAAAATCGGAAGAAGATATTTGAGGAGGTTCCATCGTTATCAATAGCAATACCAATTTTTCTCACATGAGTTACAAAAGAAGACTAATCGAATTACATTGAAAATATTGCTCAAGTTACTTTCGCATCTTCATCTTTTCTTTATTCTTATTTTCGTCTATTCATAAAAATTTAATAACTTGACAACAAGACCATCAAATTGTGATTGAATTCATATTATTCTTTTTTTATCTTTAACAGTTAAATATATAAGACGATCAGCATAAAATTTAAAATCATGTCAACATATTGTACGATAGCATAAAAATGTATGAATTTCTCCTAAATGATTATGACATATTTCTTCATTTATACTATTCTCTTCTGTCTCTAGATTATCAACTAAATGATTAATAGTATTTTCTACTTTAGTCATTTATGAAAGGAATTCAACAACAAGAAAAAAAAAAGATGAATTTCCAATTTGCTGGCATAAATAAATTTTCAAAGGAATTCTTTTTTAAGTAGGGGTGTGAATTTATTGTTATTGTTATTAATAACAATAACAAAAAAGTTATTGTTATCAATAACAAATAAGTTATTGTTATCAATAACAAATAACAAAAAAAGTTATTGTTATTAATAACAATAACAAAAAAAGTTATTTGTTATTAATAACAAAAAAAATAAGAAATAACTTTTTTTTTCGAAAAATTTTAGTTATGCTTTGTTACTATGTAACAGTATACCAGTTCTGTTTGCTCATTATTGTCGGATTGCTCGATGATGTTACTGACCGCAATCTCCGTTAGATAGCCTATGAAACTGAGAAAAATCCTAAAAAGATCTTTTCAAGTATCTTGCTCATCTATAGGCAAAATTTACTGATCGCTTTACGAGGAACGATTCTTCAATGCTCAATTGTCTTTGACTTGATGCGTTGGTCAAATATAGGCCTTAGGGAAATGAGAAAATGTCTAGAAAGATTGTACAGATCATAACTCGAAAAATGGCACCTAGAATCTCATTTCGCAAAGACTTTTATTTGACCAAAACATCAAGTCAAAGGCAATCGAACATTGAGGAATCGTTTCTCGTAAACCAATTAGTAAATTTTACCTGTAGGTGAGCAAGATACTTGAAAAGATCTTTTTAGAATTTTTCTCAGTTTCATAGGCTATCTAACGGAGATTGCGGTCAGTAACATCATCGAGCAATTGGACAATAATGAGCAAATAGAACTGGTATACTTTTACATAGTAACAAAGCATAACTAAGATTTTTCGAAAAAAAAAGTTTTTTGTTATTTTTTTGTTATTAATAACAAATAACTTTTTTTGTTATTGTTATTAATAACAATAACTTTTTTTGTTATTTGTTATTGATAACAATAACTTTTTTTGTTATTGTTATTGTTATTAATAACAAAAAATAACAATAACTTCTCACCCCTATTTTTAAGTTCCTAAGTACGAAAAACTAAACGTCTTAATGCAATAAGGATATTAATTGATGAACCGAGTAGTGAACATTTTACATGTGCTGGCATATCATCTTTACCTTCATCTAAATGATTATAAGAATTATCTTCCAGTACAAGTTTATTAAATATTGTTTCCCTGCAAACATGTACATCATATACAGCATTATCACCAATCGATAATGATACACTTGTATGTTGAATAAATCAATTCATTAAACCAATTTCAATTTGTTTTATTTCAGCTATTTGTTGTAAAATGTCATTTGTTAGCTACTAAATAAAAACCACGGTTTTTTTAGTGATAATCTTAGAAATTTTTGATAATTTGCCATCGACAACTTAAAGATAAACTGGGAGAATTTCACTTAGAAAAAACATCTTTCATATACATATCAAGATGATCATAACTGAATAAAACAAAAATTTTATCAGTGTTTGAGTGTCATTTATAAATCATTAAAACAGTTCACAAAGTTCGTTGATCAGTAAACACACGTACAATCGAATCGAAATCAGTAACTACAAAAACTTTCAATAAAATAAACAAAAAAGATTAATAAAGTATTACTTGAACAATCTTTTGGATTTTCAAAATCTTTATAAAAATATTACTTTAATATATCACGTAATAGCATATGTATGCATTGGCAACATTTGAAATTTCAGTTGGTTTTATTTTCATTGTTGTTAATAATGCGATATGAACTACTTTTATCTATAAAAAATATATTTATTTAATTAAAATTATTTATATTATCCATTGAATTGTAAAACAATAAGATGCATTCTATTTTAACTTATATATTAAAATCTATTTAATATATTTGTCTGTCTCTATAGATTTTTTATAATTAAAATTATTTTTTCTACGCAAAAATAAATTAATAAACTTTCGAGTATTTGTATTTCCTAACCAAGAGGTTTGCCATAAAATGAGAACAAAAGAGGCCAATCGATAGAGAATTTCAAGTTTTGTCAGTTTCTACAAAACGTTTTTGCTTTTGATACTGACCTTTATCTTCAAAACCTCATCACTTTTCGGGTTTGCATAGGTGTGAGTCAAGAGGGAAAAACCGAGACTTCAAGTACTTTACTCGTGCTTTAGAAATACTTGAAGTCTTGTTTTTTCTCCCCTTTTCCACCTATCATAGTCCAGACCCTATACTCACACACCCATGCTTGCACTCACACCTACTTTCAGCTCATACCCACGATACCCGCATGGATATTCCTTCCATTTCCGACTGCTTCTGGACATTCTTGAGTTTAATGACAAAAATGAAGGAATTTTGTTAAAATCGAATAGGACTTGTTGACACGTCAATTTTTGTTTGTTTCTGTCGATCAATGGCTATGAGAATTCGATTCACTTTAATAGTTCTTTTTTATAGATGGTGATTTATATAGACAAAAGAATAATTACTTCACATCGATATACACACACAATTTCTCATCGCCAAGGTGAAACCTATCAAAATCTTGCTTTGTAATGTTTTCGTGGTTGGAGAGCCAAAAGGTAACGAAAAAAGTCACTTTTTCACAGTTAGTTGGCTTTTCCCACAAGCGTATATTGATTTGAATCAATGAAGCATAACTTTTTCATCACGTAGATGGTTTTCTTTGAAAGTGATAATCATATAAAAATTGTCGAAAGCTTCTTGATAAATAAATGAAAATTTTCATATTTTTTATTTGATCTTTCAATTTATCAATAACTCTGTTGACAACTCAAACTTAATTAACTGCATCGGAATAACATATGGCTAATGTGCTTTAAGAAGTTTCAGATATGTCGAGAGATTGATAATGAAATTATCCAAAGCCTAGTGCGATATTGAATTTTATATATGTATCTCGTTTATTGTTTAACTCCTGAATTCGTCAGGTTTAAGTTAACAAATAAACATCTTGCTTCATTTCCTCAAGAGAAGAAATTTCAGCAACAATTGCTTTCTATTGAATCGTATTGGAATTGATGAAGTTTTTATCATATTTTCATCTCATCATCGTCATAGAATTTAGTTACACCTAAATGACAAAGAACAAGCGAAAAGTAACTAGAATCAAGAATTTTCATGAGATAAAAACTTCTATGCTACTTGGTGCGGCAGATGATCATACCAAAGCTCTTCTCCTCCGTCTGGACATATTATTTTATAATTTATTCCAAAATGACTGAGTGTTTCACATTTACATCAACTTAGCAGAGAACGCCATTGAACTTCTCCATATAAAACCAGAACTTCAATGTGGGTTTATAAAAAATAAAAATGAGTGAAACAGGAGAAACATCTCTTGGGAACTATTTTGCAATAAAATTAACTGATGAAGAACGAGATGCATTAAAAGGACTAAAACTAGACAATTTATTAGTCATATTAAAAATTGATTATATGAATAAAATAACTCAAATTTTGCAAGACCCTAATAAGTAAAGTAGGATGAAAAAGAAGAAAAATGCATCCAACTAGACCGCTCAAATTATTGAAAGATAAGCAAAGAATATGATGATTTAATTGTTTCGGATAGCTCGATATCAGTGCTCTATTATACAGTGAAGGTAAATAAACCCAATTCTTCAGTAAAGCCAATAATTGCAAAGTATAATGCTCGAAATTATAAACTTTTAGCACTTCTTGATAATATGATAAACAAGTAAGAGAAAGAAAGTCATTCATATGTTAAAGATTCCTTTCAATTTCTCAATACTATGGGGTTCTCTTTGTGTGGATGCCGAAATGCGAAATCGAAGTCAAAAGCTGTCAATAATACATCCATGATGTTGATGAAGAATACTCCAATAACGGGCTTTGAGCGTCTGATGAAGAATCTTGTAGAAAGAACGAGCTGCAGCTATCACTGTTCCTTCTTAACAATGAGTGTGCACAAGGTCTTAGGTTCGTTTTCGATGATTTGACTTTTTAAGAGATTCATTGTGAGATATCGATCCAAGACACAAACTTCTTTGCTCTGGATCGCATATGGGTAAGTGTCAATAATTGAAAATATGTTTTACAACATGAATAATGCAATTCTGATGAAGAAGTGAATACCTAGTTTGGGACTCTTATAGATAATTTTTGCAGCAAGTCATTTCTTGAGTACGAAATCTGTTTTCACCATGAAGTTGTACATCTTCGATGGATCTTCCTACTTTTATGACTCAACGCTCCTTCTATTTCATTTCTCGGGAGAAAAACTCATCTGAGAACTACGATTTTCAGCGAAGGTACCTATCTATAAACTGTAGCTGCAATAAATATTTCACACCTCTATCTTACTGGAATCACCAGTTATAAAGCACCAAAGCTACCTAAAATGTAAATTTTCGCCCATACTACTCGAGTCAGAGAAAATACAGCACTTGATGCTTTAAATTAATAGTTTTATTCTGAGGGAAATTCATAAATATAAATATATCTAGAAAAAATTCCACCTCAACTAGTCAAACCCTTCTACAAGTATCCTCTCCACAAGTCCTCTATTTTTTTGCTCTTTATTGACACAGACTTCCATAAAGAATTCATTAAAATACGAGAGTTCAATATTTTCTCAAACAGCATGCTTTGAAATTCATCTTGTTGGAAAAAACTCAAAGCTGACATGTGCATGAAGGATATAGAAAAATAAAGAAAACTATATGAAAGATACAATCACCAGTAGAATATCTTCTGTGACTCAAATGAAGAGTCCTTGCTACTTGGATACAAACCATTTCTATACTTATTAAATAGGCTGTTTTTCATTCTATTTGAATCCATAAAAGAATTTCTGGTTCCCGCTGAATTTAAGATAAAACAGAGCATGGACATCTATATGAGGGCGAATGGCAAAAATTTATATATATAAATATGGTTTTGCAGAGCAAAATTCGATCTATCGAATTAAAGATTCTTGAAGATATATTGAGCGTTTACGTCATAACTTTTCAGATACAAGCCAGAATTCAGATATGATGTTCCAAGTCCAAGTGCAGATACACTGTTTCCAGTGCCTCAATTACACTATTGTAATAAAAACACATCAATCAGATGACAATGAAAGATTAAGAACGAATGAGAAGGCATAAAGACGACACAGCAGATACCAATAATTGATGAACGTATGTGATGGCCTATGAAGCATATATTTCAAACAATCTTATTATATCAAAGTAATAATACTTGATGCTTCTTTTCTATAGAAGTTATCTCAACAGATTAACACAACAACATGATTTTTACACTAACTCGACGTGTTACATATGAGTATTTCAAAAAAGAAATTTTTCCTTTGAAATGCTATGTTGTTGTAATTTAAGCATAAGAAGCAGTTTATCTACACGTCTGGTGATAAACTTGGAGCATCGTATCTCAATTAGATAGACTCATGAAAATAAATCCTTATGGGATTTCTCTAGTCGGATCAAGCCATACTTATGGCTAAAAGTCAATTCTTACTTGAGCTTGTACTATTCCATTCTCGCTCTAGCTGAAAGTTTAGCTCTGAAATATGGCTCTCTCATAAGATGTACTATGCATAAAATACAGAAAAATTACATCTTACTTGTAAACTTTTTTTTTTCTAAAATGAAATATATAAAAAATATCAAACCCAGTATATATTCACAGTAAAAATACTAAGCCAAAAGGATTTATCCTTGATTAAATATGAATAGCACAAAAAATATGTCTTCTGGCGATAATGCTTTTAGAAAAACTTGAAAATCTCAAGAACAGAACAATATTTTTTCGAATGATTTACATAAAAATTCATTAAACACAGACAAAAAAACTAGTTAAATCAGTGCAGTGATTTTGAGAAAACTGATATGTAAAGTATCTATAATAGTATATATCCATCTCACATGATGCTATCTACAGACAAATTTTCATTGAAATTCTTGATACCCATTGAATCCATGGTCTGTTTTATTCAGAGTCTTCTCTTTCGTGCAATGACCTCTAGGTAGTCGAATCGAATAAGATATATTTCAACTTTGAAACAAGAGTAAAGTAGAATTTCTAATTTCTGGCATGGAACAAAATAAAATGTTCGAACAAATAGCAATAATATTTATTTTATTCAAAAAGAAAAAAAACTAAACTATTGAAGAAATTATTGAAGAATGAAAGACATAAAATATAATACTGGTATATTTAAAAAACGCTGGATTAAAATAATAATTTATATTTTGTTTATCACTATTGTAGATGTCCATAAAGCATCTGCAAACAAAGAAAACTATATAATGACTTCTGGCTGTATGATAAAAAATGTTAAAACATCAATTAATCAAATACTTTACCTGTATATTATTCACTATGAAGAAAAACAAAAGAATACATAAACGTAAATAAAATAATCTCTTTGATTTAATTACGTTTTAAGAGATCGAAAAAAATTCATCGATGAGACTTGTGAAGTATCAGGAGTGATTGATGTGCGATGTGTATCCGCTATTATTGAATCTCGTCGAAGACCTTGTCTTGACTGATCACTAGGACCGATTGTTTCATCAGCTATTTGGTTACAAAAAAAAAGAGTCATTTTCTTTAATTAAATAAATTACAAATATACTTGATTCCTCTGCATCGAGACGACGTAGTTCAGGCAGTTTGATACGTGCACCTCCCATTATTTTCATACCATCCATTAAACAACGAAGATATTCTAATACATTATCTTGCTAAACACATATATATACTTTAATGTAAGACAAAGAATAATGAAAAGTATTACTTGATTACTAATCATTTTTACTCGAGTCTCAAGTATTTGTATTTTCTTGTTTATTGAATCTTGTGGTGTTTGTCTAAACATATAAAAATATATATTAGAAAGAAAAAAAAGAATTGCTTTTTTGAACTATCAACTTACACTCGTTCTTCATCAAGATCATGTTCTTCAGTGAATTTTCCTGCACTCTTAATACAACTATGATAAACTTCATCACCAAATGCATCTTCAATTGTTTCAATATTACTAGCAAATCTTTCTTCTAGCATAATTGCTGTAACGAAGAAAAAAAAGAAACAAGATTTAAATCAAAACGAAAAAAAAACAGGTTTTTCTTACCATATGTTGTTTGTTTTAAATGTTGATCATGTTTTTCTCTAATCCATGATGATTTGGAACATAATGATAAAGTAGTTAATATCAATCGCCAAAGATGAGCAACAAAAATAAATGGAGGTGGTATTGATGGTCGAGATAAATATTCACATATTAATGAATATCGTTGAAATTTCCATATTCGATCTGTATCATTTTGAAGACGATCGAAGGTATTACTAGGAAATGAATAATTGGAAATTATTTAGATTTCATCTGCCTTACGCCACGAGATAAATAAAAACCAGATATGTCAAGCATTGAAATGAGTTTTTCAGAAATCTTAGTTATTCTCTTCAAACTAAACGATGAGCTATGTCAATTTTAACAATGAGCAACATTATCTCTGTCTATTTAAAATTCTGTTTCATGCGTAACGAACAATAGACGTCAATAAACCGTCGAATCTTAGAAGTACCAAGGTACGCCGGGCAAACTTGTGATATGCATTGAAATGAAGCATTTAAACTCTTTCTAATAATGACATATACACGAATATTGGTGAAATATTAGTATATCATCAGAGAAATTAAATAATTATAATCAAGAACTATTTCTATGTGATTAATAGTTTAGAATTTTTCAATACCTAACTTATCACATAGAATGAATTGTTTCTAAAGTATGTTCAGCTAACAATATGTGTGATATAAGATGTTGTGGATCTTTTCTCACTTAATATAGGTCTACTAAAACGTGAACATACAACTTCCTAGTGAACCATTTAAGATTTCATAGCCTTTCTATATGAACATTTTGGTAACTACAATCTCGCTCAATACCTGAACATTGCAATAAGTAGATTAACCAAAAGTATACTAGCAATAGCCATATAAGTAACAAGTAAAATAAATACAGCATTACCAGTTGCACGATAATTGTCTGAATGAAGAAGAATTTATTCTTTCAAGAATATTCTTGTTTTCTTACTTTCAAATTTAGATAATATATCTAGTTCTCCAAATATTTGCCAATAAGACAAATGTAGAAGTTCACGTGGTAAATGCCAACTAAATTCTTTTGTACCATAAATAAGACTATGAGATGATACACCAAATCCCAAAATAAATACAATTAGCAAAACCATATAAAATTTCAAATCATTCATCTTAGAAAAATTTTCAAAAGAAAAAAAAAGAAAATTAACCAAACAATTCAAATAATCAATTTTTTCTTACCATTTCACCAATCATAACAAGTTTAGGACCGAGTCTTTTAATAGCTGCAAATATATCTAATGAACGTATATACCATATTGCTATGTCAATTGACCAAACGATACGTGCTGCACAAAAACATTCCGTTAATGGCAAACATCGAAGTATAAAACCAACATAAAAAAGTATTATAGCTAGAACATCTAATTGGTTCCAAAAAACTTCGAAATATTGTACTATTGCATTACGAGTCGTTTGTGCTTCCGATGAAAAGAGCTATAAAAAATCTAACATAAAAAAAATAAAAACAAGTCATATTTATATAACTTGTCGCATTTCTTCACAAAGTAATGTTGTAACCCAAACAAGAAGTATATATTCTGTAATAGCTGGATGATTACGTTTTTGCAATCCATATGGAATTGTTGTGTTAGTTTTAGATTCAGTATTTATCATTGATGGACTTTTATCATCATCCTTTTCTTGTTTTTCAGAATCAATTGTTGGTCTACATACATCCGTTTCAAATTCGTATAGAGGAAAAACACCACATAATACCACATAAGAAAAAAGTAATAAAAAGATCAGATGAAAATACTATAAAAAAAGAATATGAACAATTTTTTTGTATAACAAATAAAAATATTCAAATTAAATACATACTAAATTATATAGATATTTAACATATGGAGAACGCATAAATTTTAAAATATTGTCAAAATATAGACACATTGGTCTTATTATGCTTAATATAAGAAAAAAAACAAAATCACTATGTAATTAATATTAGCAATCTTACGCTAAAGTTTATTAAATATTTCAAGCGTTAGTATGCGTCAATTATTATGTTTTGATTTACTTTTCGTAATGGCCAACAGCAACGAATTCAACAGGAGTATTATTATCCATATCTGTAACACCATGAATTAATTTCGTTTGAGTACTATCTCTTGTACTAGAGAAATAATAAGAAGAGAAAAAAAATTGAATGTATTAGTATCATATTTTTAGATCGAAAAAGAAAATGTTTTCTTGTTCTTAATGTTAAAAATGATCATTCTTTTAGTTTTGAAAGTAAAATAGAATTGGAATTTTTATTTATTCGATGATAATGAATCAAATTTAAAAGAAATCTATTTGATTTGTCTGTCGAATAATGTAATTTTATCAGATATGAATTTTCCTGGTAATATCACGATTTTCAGACTTATTTTTTGACAACTGGCTATTCAGTTTCTTTGAGAGGTGTAACATTTTCTTTATACCATTACATTAACTATTTTTCGAAGTATATTTCACTGTATTTAAATTTTACAGAAGTGCAATTTCAGCCAAATATCCATCTAGATACACACTATGTCCCACGCAGACTTATTAAGAATGGCTCATCACAGTTCGGTACAAACGATGTTGAAGATATGTTGTATGTCAAAACAGATAGAAGAAAAAGCAATTTTCTTATGATGGATAAAAGCAGCTACAACATATTTCTCATTTCAAATCTATCGAGATTATACAAACATCCTTTCTCTAGTGACTCGTCGATAATCGCTATGGTGGATCAAGAGCTAAAATAATTATACAATACAATGAAAAAATTATGAAACAAGAAAATTTCATATCTCAAATCTTCTTAATTAATATTAATTTTTCTATTATAAGTTCTTAAAGGTAATATGAAGTTCTCGTTTTTTTCTCTTACATCTATAAAGAAAAAAAAAATCTATTTAAAACATAATACTTTTCCTGAACACGCAGTGCTTTTGTTGTGTGAGTTCGTGGTGATAAACTTGATTTACTTAGTAAATCCTAGATATTTAAAACATAATATAAGAAAATAAAAAGTAAATCAACGAAAAAGAATACATCTAGAAATCTTGTTTCATCATTGAATTTAACTAATTCATCATGATAATAAAGAAAACCACTATACCAAAGCATAAATGTTGAAAAAATAATCTTCTTTTCACTTTCTCGTTGGTCAATATATCCATACCTAAATTAAAATATTGAACATTTAACAAAAAAAACTTTAAATTTCAATATACCAAATATTATTGAGTACATCTTGTACTGCTCGTTGAGCAAAAAATTGTTTAGCTTCAGCTTTTGCAGCTAATTCTAACCATGTAACATTACCATAGGCTGGTATTTGTCGTATAACGGCTTTTATACATGTACGAGGATCGGCTCTATAAAATCGATTAAGAATATGAACAGCTAAAGCTTCGAAGTCATTAGCTCTTTGCTCAAAATTAATATCATTTTCTTTTTCAGCACGTTTTCTATAAATTAATGTAGCAATTAATGCAGCACCTAAAAGTATATTTTTTTTGTACATATGAATATGTATATATATAATAGAAAAGAAAGATTACTTACAGATTTTATTTTTGCTACGAGACCAAAATAGTAAATTAAATTCAAATTTGCCTGTTATCACAGACCAAAGAAAAAGTTCTTTGTCAACGTCCAAAAGACTAGTGGAACCACCTAGAATAGGTTTAATTAAGAAAAAAAATGTTAGCATTAGATATAAAACATTCCTAGGAGCAATTCTCTTTTTTTGAATATTGTCTCATTTCTATCATAAGCACAGTCCTAAATAAGTGTCCATCAGATCCAAAATTTTTCGATTTCACACCCGATTATAAGAAATATTTCATTATGACTATTCTTGATAATATTGCGCTAATGCTTTGAATGTATGCATGTGACAATAAACTTTAATCACAAGCATCAACTCGCCCTTCATTGACTCACATTCACTAGACTTATCATTCAGACATCTTCTTTCTCTCGTGCGATTACTTTATCTCAACCATGTTCGCAGAAATATTTTCATTAAACTCCTCCTGTGAAAGATCCCTGTTGTATGGCCATTGAAGAACAAATGATAATTTTTTAGTAAGATGAATCTTTTCCACGATAACTTGTTTGACCTGCTCGATTATCCTGAAGGCAATACGCTATCAAGCCTGTTAAAAAAAAGGTTCAGCTCAATGTGCTTCTATTCTAAGTTTTTGATAATACTTTATCAGAGGTTGAAAAATGAGTGAAATAGCATCATTAGTTAAATTGCTTATATGAACAACTCCGTGAAAAAACGCTGAATCACTTTAAATAATAATACTGTTTCTACAAAGAAGGCACTTTTCCGAGATAAACATATAAGTATAATTCCTAAGATAGCATTCTTCAATGGAAAGACTAATATCTAAATCCATAGAAACATTATAAATGCAACGGCAATTATCGCCAGCAATGGAACCGTTACTAGTTATCGACGTATCTTATTAAGTTTTATGCTTTTAGTATCTCATAAAGGATGTGTAATATCAATTTGGTTTACTCAGACCAAAATCGATACGATTGATGAAACTGGAAAGGTCAGTTGATAAGATTCTGTGTCAACTTTTACTTGATATATAATATAATTATATTGGATGTTTATATCAGAAAATTCTTTCTGTAAATACACGAAAAAAAAAACTGTTCGCACGTTTTTCTCGTCGTAGAGTTTTGCATAAGGTGTCGAATTTTAAACAAATGTTTTTCTTTTTGATACTGTTCGCTATAGATGTTGTCTCTTGAAGATGCGCGAAAGGAATTTTGTATTCGATCCTTAATATCACATCAATAATGAATTTTCTAGAAAACTTTGTCATAAATTTTAAGGCTTTGAGAATTCCAAAAATGCAATAAAATTTTCAATATTATATTCCTTATTCGAATGAAAGTTCTATTCTACATTATTGTCTATCCACTCTGTCGAAGTAAAGTGTATACTAAATTCTAATGCTTTTATAAAAAGACTTAGAGAGATTCTCGACAATCATGTTTGTCGTTCATATTTTTGAAAGTTTCACGAAATAAGAATCAATTAATAATGAAATTCTATAAATTGCAACAGAGTAAAACAACTGACTTTCTAAAGGTAAACTTCCAGTAAGTTGATTAAGTGTTCTAGCAGTATCATTTTGGCTTCTCGATGATGTCGTACAACATACATATTCTTCATGATTAATATCGAGATTTACACCAGTATGAGCACGAGATACTTGTGATCGTAAAGCAACATCAACTTTAAAAAAATCGCCTATTAATGGTTGCAGTACTATTTTATAGATTGTTCGTAATGGATTATTAGATTTTGATATCTTTTCAAAATGTTCCTATAAAGATAAAAGAAAAACACTAATAATTAATATATAATTTAATAAATTAATTATACTTTGCTCATGCTACTTTTATAAAGTAATGAAAGTTTGTCATTATTTCGAAATAAATCAGTTAATGAAAAATCATGATCAAGAAATAATTTCACAAATGCTGTTTGACTTCTATTAAGTGCTAATTCAAATAAATCATTTAAATTTGTACTCTAATTAGAAATAAGAATAAAAAGATATTTTAATTTAAATTAAAAAGAAATTATTTATTTTTCTTACTGCCCAATCTCGATCATGTTGCATAATTTCATTTTTTACAATATCAACACGATTCCATTCCAAAGCTAATTGAAATTGTTCACGTTTTCGTTCATAATTTGTTTTATGTGCATCAGAACCTGACGTAGCTTTAAGAAAAGAAAACAAAAAACAAAAAACAAAAAAATTTCTTTTCAGAAAAAACAAAATTTCATATTCTTCATTCGTTCTTTTTTACCTCTCAATAAAGCTCTTAAAATAGCTAAATCAATATCAGGCTCAACTGGACTTTGTGAATTAAGACTAACAATATTTAAAAATTTTCGTCGAGTAGTAATACATTCATAAACTAATGCAAAATAATCAGGTGAATCAATATCCTGGTTTTTAGTTTCCATTGTAGTCGTTGAATTTTTTGATGCTTTTTTATCACTACTGATAGTTGGTGGATTACTTACACCACCAATGGCATAAAGTTCTGCTTTAAGTGCTTCACGAAGTTGATTTTTTAATCCGTCACGACGTGATAAAAGAGCTGCTACATTCGAACTAAATGATTAAAAAGAATTCATTTACATATATATATATACATGTCTATTCTATCTTGAAATAATAATGGGAGACAATGTTATTTCTACTCTTCTAGAATTCATTTTCTGTTTTTTTTTTTATTAAATTATTTTTGTAGTAAATACAGCTAAGGAAAGCCAACGAGATAGAGATATTTTCATTTTTAAAAACGTTTCATCGAGATACGAGTAAGATCGTCTCGAAGCTAGTTCCAGTTCTGTCAGGACCAATGACATATAGGCAATACTCAAGTATTCTAAATAGATATGGGCAAGATGGTCCCTGTTTCAGCAGACTGGAAACCAGAAGCGACTGGTTCCGTACATGTCTAATTTTATCATAACTGAAGATAAATTCTTACCTGAAAGTAAAAAAAGCTCTGTTTGTTTCTCATTATGAAACCAAAATTTATTAATAGTTTAGAGATATTTTTTTTGTAGCTATTGAAACACTATCTGCCGTATATGATTGATCTTAATAAAAACGAATTCATATAATGATATAACAACATTATATAGTACAATAAATCCTTTTTACAAAAAATATAGAATATTACTATCAAATATGATTTCCCTTTTTAGTTTTATCTATTCTATGCGTCTATAAATCAAAACTTAGACAATTAACAAAGAAATAGCTACAATCTTAGTTGATACAATTTGTCATGAAAGTTTCTATTTATAAATGTATCGAATTAATGATAAAAAAATTTTCAGGACTGCACAATGACAAATAGAATTAGATGTGAAAACTATTTCTAAGATTGTCAAGTCTATGCTGAATACATGTCTATTTCAATCATTCCATCTATGTGTAACTTGAAATCGTTTGAGTTTAGAAAAAAAAGTGACTTATTTACGATGAAATTTCTTCTTCGCCTTCCAAGTTTTTTTCATATTCTGCATAGAGATGGACTGCTTTAGCAAATAAATCACAACAACGACCTGTTCCTTCAAAAAACACAGCTGGTATATTATTTTCAACAACAGCTTCATGCACTATAGAAAAAGAAAAAAAGAAAAATGAGTTTTCGTATTTTATTTTTCGAAAAAGTAACATTTTTTTTTACCTGTTCGAACAGTATTTGGACCACCTTCAACAACAAGAAGGACAACAGGTACTGGATCTATAACAATATAAATGTAGTTATGTAAAAGATAATATTTCATATCAACCTGATTGTTCTGGACGAAAAGATGGTGTTGTTGTTGTTGAAGTTGACATGTCTGCAGTAGAAGTTGTCCTGGATCGTGCTCCAAAAAAATCTCCTGATATAGCTCGTTCAAGACGAGCACGAAATGTTATTTCACGACCAAATTGTCCTTCACTTCCATCATCAATAAAAATAAATTTCGTATGATTAGGTTCAAGAGGAGCTGTGTTTTTTTCTTCAATAGTCGGTTTAGTATACTCTACAGTTTTTCCACGATCATTAAGTTTATCACGACCGGCTACACAACCCCAAGTAGCAATGCCCTATTATAAATATATGGATTTATAATATATAATTAACTTCGAAAGATTTCATTTACAAATAAATGAATTCGACGACAACGACTAGGATTCATTTCAACAATTTCACCAACAAGTTTCATGATTCCCGTATTCATACCTCCAGTAATAATCCAAGCACCTTAAAACCAAAAAAAAAAAGAAAACAAATTTAATCTTTTAGAATACTAAGTAAACGGAAGCATTTTATAATTGAGGATATTTTTTTTTTATGAAGTCAAGCACTTAGTTCAAATTTAGGTAGTGATTTTAATAGTCAATGAAATTTTTTATCTAATGTATTCTCTAGCAAGATTTCTAAAAAACTTAGACCTGTTACTGTTTAAGTTCTATGGAGACTATTTTTTTTAAGAATGTCATTTTAAAGAACGTACAAAACGAAAGGTTGCCTATTTTTCTATGACCTTCATTTAAAAAACTACGAATATCATAAAAATCAAAACGTCGTGTGTTTTTTTTTATCGTTTTTGTCATACTGTAAAATTTTAAAAGAAAAAATCGTAGAAAACATGTCTATCATTCATTTTGTGCTCTTTAAACTAACATTGTTAGAAAAATAGTTTTCAAGACATGAAAACTAAGATGTCTAGTTCTTTTGAAAATTTACCATCAAAATTAGTTCATCTATGAAATCTTGCTATAGAATACATTAGATAGAAAACTCGATTGATTTATGGCAGATGTTTTTACTAGCATTATCCTTGCTTGTGCTAGAAATGTGCGACGTAAGCTTGTTTTTTTTCCGTATTATGGTTGAGAAAAATTTTCTAACCTTCACTCTACCTTATCCTGTGGTAGGATAACCCTGTACATCTCTATCTTCTTCGTCTTATTCTCTCTTTATTTGTATTCAGAGTTTAAATAAAGTGAGAATCAGGGCATAATGTCCCGGGCAAGGACAAACGTTCAAAGAGGTCATAGTGACCTATGATTGTAAACAATAATATTTGATAAAGCCAATTAAAAACAATACCTCACAGTAGTAGATTTAGAGGAAATGATTGTCCTTTCCTTTCAAAATATGTTTCGATTTTGGTCAGTAATAAATGCTGAAAACTAAGCTGATATAATCTCTAATGGACTTCAAAACATGTTTTATTGATCATGATTTCTTTGTCTTGAAATCCGAAATTCACCAATGATATCTCATTCTTATTTTAGTTGAAATTTTTTAGCATGTTCAAATTTAATATTTAATCTGAATCAAAAGAAAAGCAATGATATAAAGAAAACAAGATTATGTAATATGAATCATGATTTTACTATTATTCTAATGATTACTCGCTTCCTTTTTCACTTTCAGTCTCATCACGGAACAATTTATACTCCTCTCCTTTATAAATGTTGACATTATTTGAACTAAAGTTTTCGGTCACTCAAGCTAGCAATAATTTTGATTGTGATCTCAATGAGTAGTGATAGAGGCAATATTTTAGCTCGGAATAGGCACATGATGAGTTAAACTCATCGTTGTCATCGTCACTAACCGTGAGTCATGTTACTAAGCATAAATCTTTGAAAGTTATTTAAAATAAAAATTATTTAATTTCATTACCTGTTGTGCTTGCCACTTTGAGAAGACCACGTCGAAATGCTCTCAATAATTTCGGTTTCATATCATAATCTTTTGCACCACCTGTAACCGAAATAACAAGTGATGGTCGCTAGAAAATAAAATCAACCATTAAACAACTTAAATTTTTTCTTCTTTCAGAACAATACAACATACTTCATGACACCATTTTGTATTAATGTATTTTTTAACCTCCGAAACGGGAGCTTCAGGTGGTATACGAATAAATTCTGCTCGATTTGATTTATTATCCGTAACTTAAACAAAACAAAACAAAAAAAGAATAGAAACATTCTTCTCATTTATTATTTAGATGGGTTTATTCGTCACAGTGATAGCTTTACAAGACAAAAGTACTGAAGTCGATTGTTAGAGCTGAATGATTTTTAAAAAAAGACTAGAACCGAAAATCGATCTGGGTTCGAAACCATTAAATTATCAGATAGATACAAACATGCTGAAGTCTATGTGGAGAAATCGTCATTTTTTGAGATTCAAAGATTTCAGTCATTTCAAAATCGGTTTTAAGTTTTTCATATTTATCTAAGGATTCAACGGTTTTGGTTTCGCGTAATTGTAGGAACCAACCGAACTCTATAGATCGATATTTCTTTCCGAAATAGTTTTAGATTTTCCTTACAAGGAAAGATCGCGAATTAATCCAAGCCGTTTTCAATGTTATTTTATACATATTTCGAGAACAGGACTCTAGGAAAAATCCTAAGAGGATTTGTGCTAATAAAGCTTCTTTAAAAATTTATGACTATTTTATTCGTTTTTCGACTTAGCGCCAGATATTTACAAAAATGTTGAAAAACAGAAGTTCAATCTGAAAAGAACGTGTCCGATTTTATCTGAGCCATTCGATAGTCTAGTTGAGTTCTCTACATGCGCAAAGTTTCAGGTCATAATTTATTAGTTTCCCGACAAGCTGAGACCTCTAGGAAGAAATTCGATAGTTTAATCAAATTTCCATAGGAATCTAAAACTATTTCAAATTCTAACTAAAACACTATGTAATATCTAACAGCAAAAAATCATTGAAATTCGAAGGAGGTAGCTGTAGAGATTACCGCGTAAGCTGAATGACTAGTACAATGACTATAACTTTTGAAAAAAGTTTCATCAGTTCAAATTCTCTTAAGATTATTTCTAGAATAATGTTTCCGAAGTATGTATAAAATAATATTGGAAATCTTTCCTCGTTAGTAGATAAAAATTCAAAAATGAGTCGATATGATCTTCAATGGACTTCAAAACATATTTTGTTGATCATGATCGTTTTCTCCTTCTTCAAATTCTCGATTGGCCATTAATTCGTCTTACAAGTAATTGTTCCATAAGATTTAGCACCAATCGAATTGATTAACTACGTAAAAAGAAAATACAAGACTAGAGAAGATTTTTTAAAGATCTTTCTCTTACTTGATTACTTGCTCGAGTATGCTCTTCAGGTACCAAAGTTGATACAATTTTATTGACACTTTCTGAAACAAAGTTGTGTAGCGATAGTTGTCTTAGATTTGCGTCGTTTACGTTGTTCATATTGATATAAATTATAGGTTTTGTTTGTTTTCGGATTCGCTTCGCTGATCTAAAGATTATTAATGATTCATCATATTTAAACGAGGTAGGTAAAATAATCAACCAACCAATTAATCCTATTGATACATAAACACGAATCACAATCGATTCATATGATTCATTCTACTGATGCAAAAAGAGAAAAGACGAAACGTTTGTTTTTCATCATAATATTTCTTTCATCTATTTTTATATAGTAACAATGAGTTCATCAACAACAAAAAAATTTCGTGAATTTATGGCTGAACCACTTGGTGATAAAAATATTCGAGATGTTCCTGGTATAGGTGATGTACTTGGTGCAAAATTATCTGAAGCTGGCTATGAAAAAGTTTATTTATATATATATAAAATTCTTATTGAATTAAAATAATTGTTTTTTTCTTTAGGCATATACTTTATTTGGTAAATATTTATTATGTCATAAAGATATTGAAGCATTTCAAGAATGGATTCAAACACAATGTGGAGCAAATAGTCATCAAGCAAAAACAGCCGCACAAGCATTATCCGAATGGGCTGAAGCATTTATTTGAGAACATTTTTTTGTTTCTTCTTGTCTTTTATATTATAAATAAAAAAAAAAACCAAACAGATTTATGGATTTATTTTAATTTTCGTATCTAATTCTAGACTATTTTTTTTTTGAATATCATGTCATCGACAACATCACAAAAATACCGAGATTTTACTGGTGAACCATTAAAAGATAAACATGTTAGTGAAGTACCTGGTTTAGGACCAAAATTAGCAAGTAATTTAGAAGAATCTGGTATATCAAAAGTATGTTTATAATAGATACAGAAATAATTGAATACCTTACACAGAAACAGATCTTGATGAGAAAAAGTTTTAGATTTTTTGATTGCACCTGTTCGGTAATAATAACATCGGAATTCACTGTTATATATCAGTACTATGAAATTTGAAACTCTATTTTTAGCACTTTTGTCCGAATTCTTTTCATGAAAATGATAGTTGATAAATTTCTTTTTTTTACAAAAAAATGATTTCCAGACGATGAAACTCTATAATCACTGCAGTCATTTATTTGAATATCATGAAATTGAATAAAGATTTCTGATTGTTATCAATTGTGAAATGTAAACGATTAACCTTACTTTAATCGAATGATTGAAATGTCGAAAATTAAAGTGTAGATTGATAAAAAAAAAAAATATCGTAAAATACAAATGTTAATTCAAGCTTGAAAGATAATATATTTATTTATTATTTTGTAGGCTTATGAATTATTAGGTATTTATTTAACATTATTAAAAAATAAAGATTATTTTGAACTTTGGATTCGTGACAATGCTGGTGCTAATCGTCATCAAGCTAAACAATGTGCCGATGCTATTGATGCATTTTGTTCACAATTTCTTTAATAAACTAATTCTCTTTATTTTAAAATGTCTATTATATAAATATATTTACTTAAATAAACATGAAACTATTGTCTATTTTTCTTTTTTTTAATTATTTTTAATGATAAAATTTTTGTAGATTTGATATGAAATACTTGATTATTTATTTTATTCTTATAATAATTATAATTAATCGTAAGAAAAATTATATAAAAGAATATATTTATGAAAATATTCATATGTTTTTTTTAGTTTCATATTCATTAAATTGTTTTGTATGTGATTCAAAAGAAGATGAACATTGTCCAGAAACATGGACACGTAAAGATATACTTCCTGTTGAATGTGAAGGACCTGATGGTGTACAAAATGCTCGATTTTGTATAAAGACTATTGCTGTTTTTGGAGGTTTGATTCTTACTAATACAAGAATTTTGCTAAAAGACTACTAAAATGAATGAGAACTTAAAAGAATTTATTAGAAACTCGACGAATTGACATAATTTGTTTTCTATTATTGAAGGTGCTGTAGCAACAAAACGTTTTTGTACATCACGTCATATGGATAATCAATGTATTGAAGTAAAATATCCTCAAGATGAAAAAATGTATTATTCATGTACATATACATGTTCAAGTGATGGTTGTAATCGAACATATCGTTTATATTTATCAAGAATAATTTTTCTATTTTTTCTTTCAATGCAGATTTTTTTTTCAACATTCTAATTTAATAGATCTGATATTTTTTTTTGTATATTTGTTATGAAAGAACATAGAGATTTAATTTTGTAGTTTTTACTTATTTTTAATGAATAAAATATTTATTTAATGAATTAGTTATTAATAGAATGAATCGAATTCTTATGATTATTATATTGTATTTATTGATCAACTAAATGAATACCGAAGAATATTTGTTGTTGAATGTTATCGTCTGATGATAATAATCTATATAATTATTAGCCTATAATAACAAATATTGATGCTGAATATGCAATAAAATCAATAGATAATGATTCTATACAGCAATCATTTATTATTCAATAGGTAATTAATTTTACAGATATTGATCAAAAGTTTTTTGAATCCTATTTGACATTTTCTGATGCAAAAACAAGATAATTGATCTTTTACTAACAAGTGATCATAGAATGTATACTGAATGAGAAACATTTGATCGATTGATATTATCTGATGTTTTTTGTTTTTTAACATTTGATTTAAAATCAATAAATCTATGATTAATTAATATTGATTTTAATCTTACTGATGGTAAACCTAGTTATGAAACTGTCATTGAAAAAAAAACAAGCTTTTATAACAACATTTGATGAAAATAAAATACATCAATTTCTTATTGAATATCAAAATGTTGAAATAACATAAAATTTTCATTTATCACTTGAAAATTATAATATTATAAATAGTTTTGAATATGAATTAATTTTAGAGTATAATTTTCTTAAGCTGATACTTTGTGAAAGAGAGAGAAAGTACAAAAATTATCATTGATTTTCATGGAATATTAATTAATTAATATCAATAGAAAATTTTTTCTTGCTTGTTTTTCTTTATTTCAATACACAACTGAACAATAAAACTTGTTCAAAGAACAAAAAAAAAGAACGTTTTCTTTTGTAACAAAAATTTAAAGACTAGTTTTCATCGTTTAAAGCCGGTATTGTATCCATTTCATTATCTTGATGAAATACACTTCGAAAGATAGCCGACTTAAAAAGAAAAAAAAATAATAATAAAAGTATATAAATTGAAATATAAACTTTATAATATAACATACCTTATTCAGATCATCTTCCGATGCATCAGTAGGTTCTAAAACAAAAAAAAAAACGAAGAAGGAGATTTAAATTGAATCTTATTGACTGATGACAATTGTTGCTAAACAATATAGCAAACTTTAAATATAGAATTAGCTGCTTATAGAAAAAGTCAAGGTTGATTTGTCCCGGTTTGTAATCTTTTCTAGAGCTGTGTAAATATGAACTTTTATGAGTACGAGTTGATTGTCAAATATTTATGAGTAAATTTTTAAATAAGATTGACATTGAAAGAAATTAGTTATCTGCTACAGAGATGGACAAAGTCGCACCGCGCCTCCCCGCGCCGTTGCTCACGCCTACGCTACACTAGTCTGAGCTTCGATGAGCGCATGCTTAGAGCATCCCGGTATTCGGTGGAGTTTGAGAAACTGATTGGTAGAGCAAAGAGAAAGAGAGATGTGCGTAGCGCCTAGGCGCGAGCAGTGGCGCGGTGCGATTTTGTCCATCTCTGATCTGCTAGAACTTCGAAACGTAAAAATAAGTACCGAGAATCACTTTCTAGCTCTCAAAATATTTTAGTTTTCTTTATGATTAAAACAAGTTAGTAATGATATCCGATAATGTTGTAAAGCCTTGTTCATAACACTTTCCTATTAATAATTTGTGTCAGACTCGTACACTTTTTTAAAATGAGATTAAAAAGAAAATATGAATATATGTAACTAAAATAATTGAATAAATAAAAATTTACCTTCATCATTTTGAATTTTCTTTTCTGTATTTGTATCTAATTGAATATTTATTGGTATTGATTGTATTTGTTCAGTTGTATTTGAAGTTTGTGGTTGAATTTTTTGAAAAATTGTTGGTTTATTTGGATCATAAACATCTTCATCATCATCATCAAGATTTTCAATAGTTGAACTTTCAATATTTGGATCATGTTGAAATGATGTACCAGATACTTGTTGTTGTCGTGATGGTATATATTCTGTTGTTGATTGTTTTTCATTAATTATTTGTTCATTTGATAAATTATCTATTGAATTTTCATTCATAATACGTTCATTAGGTGCACGAATTGATGGTTGTAATGGATCATATGGTAAATCACGTTCTGGATCATAACGAGATAATTCTTCTTGCTGAAAAACAAAAAAGAAAAATTTGATTTTTAACAAAAAAAAAAAGAAAATCTCTTACGCGTTTTTGTTCTTGATATGCAATTAATTTTTGATTATAAAATTTATAAACAAAATCTGCCATTTGTGGCATATTTTCCATTATAAGTGCTTGATGTACAATGGATTGATCACGTTTTTCCTATAAAACGATTAAAAAAAAATCATCTTTTTCATTCTTATTTATTTTCTAAACAAACCTCTCGCATGCTTGGATAGATTTCATTTGGTAATAAATATAATTTAATTGGACGTTTTGTTAATATATTAAAAGCTGGTGTTAATTCAAAACAACTAAATTCAAATGTAAAATAGTTTTTATTTTTATTTTTATGCTTACGAGGGAACATTCCCAAGTGAGACCCGCCGTTTCAGCTCATATTGTGCCCAAAAGTAGATCTCGGTAAGACTAGAGAAAGTCTAAAAGGGTTCGTACCATTGCGCCTTTGGAGCCGAGTTATGCCTAATTTACTCAATTTTCGACCCTTTTTAGGGTACTGATCGAAAAATCAAATCACGAAGTTTCCATCTGAAATTTTTAACATAGATAGATATAGTTACACCTAGAATATCCTGGAAGTTTCAGCCACATAGAATGTTCCTTTGTCGAGTTATTGCATTTTCAATTAAACTCGACTTTTGTGAAATATCTGTCGCAAATGACTATTTTTTGGAGATCCAATATCTCCACATAGGAACATTCTATGCGGCTGAAACTTCCAGGATATTCTAGGTGTAACTATATCTATCTATGTTAGAAATTTCAGATGGAAACTTCGTAATTTGATTTTTCGATCAGTACCCTAAAAAGGGCCGAAAATTCAGTAAATTAGGCATAACTCGACTTCAAAGGTGCAATGGCACGAACCCTTTTAGACTTTCTCTAGTATCACCGAGATCTACTTTTGGGCACAATATGAGCTGAAACGGCGGGTATCACTTGGGAATGTTCCCTCGTTAATCAAGAAAAACTTTTGTTAATTAAATTACCTTTCGAATAGATTAACTCGACCAAATATATATAAACCAAGACGTGCTCGAGACATTGCAACAACTAATCGACGAACATCACTAAATAAATAAAATATAAAATAAATATATATGTTTTCTTTTTTTTATTTACCGTAAATGACCAACAGCTTTCGTACGAACAAGTGAAAGAAGAATATAATCATTTTGTTGACCTTGATATTTATCAACAGTTGTTACCTAATAAAATTTTATTATAAATAACAATAATTTCTTTTTAATTTTTAATTTTATTCTTACTTTCATTGGAAGTCCAAGAAGAGAATTTTTTCCACAACGTTTATTAAGTACATCACGAATAAGAAATTTTTGTCCATTATATGTTGTTAGAATAGAAATTTTTTGAGCTGGATAACCAAGTAAACGCATATACATATAAACAGCAACAATATATTCAGCTTCAGCAAGATTCTAAAATAATGATTTAAATATTTCATTCTTATTATTAACTGATAAAATATTTATAGAAAAATTAGAATTTTTACTTGAACTTTTTATTCATAAGTCTTAGAATATACGATAATCTTTTCAGTCAAAAAAAGGTTGTTTCTTCTTAACAAATTGAATATTCAAAAACAATTGTCATAAAAATGAATTTTCATTGAAACTTTCATCGTGAACCATATTTATGGACAAAATACCTCTTCAGTCGATGATTAACAATTGAATAATGCTCTTTCGTAAGACAACACTTTCTCTTCTCTGTTAGTCACGGTTATCAGTTCAGTAAAATCTAGTCTATTGTCTGTTTAAAAAAAAAATAATGGTCATGACTATTTTTGTAATAACTCAAGAAAGGAAAGAGCGATTTTCACTAGTCGAAAGAGACGAATACTAGGGCATCTTTTTCTTCAATATTGTATATGATGAAATCATTTTAAAATCAAACGTTTTCTTTTTACAAAACATCGAAAAAAAAAGGCATAAAAATTATCTATCGTTCATATGAAATTTTGACAAAAAGTAAGAAAATTTGCTTAAAAATGAAGAGAAATTCATATTTTTCGAGGAAGTAAATAAAGAATTTGATTTGCTTAACATTATAATACGTGAAGATGATTATTCAAATTATATCTTAAACTATAGATTTAAAGTCTCTATATCTAAATCACATATCAAAACTAAAATTTCATCGAAACGATAGACCTTTCTCATGAGATTTTTTTGCAGAAATGATACAAATAGAGAAAATCGATATCGAAAGTTTATTTTACATTTAGAGGTGTAAGCCGATGCTCGGATCGGCGTCGGCGGCTGAATTTTTAAAAAATTTTCGGTGTGTCGGCTGGCGGCGGCTACAAAAGTCTCGGTTTCGGCGGCGGCGGCTGGATTTTAAAAAAATTTTTCGGTGTATCGGCGGCAGCGGCTGAAGTTTTAAAAAACTTTTTCGTATGTCGGCGGCGGCGGCTGAAAATTTGGTATCCGTGTTTTTAAAATTTTTTTATTTTCGAAATATTTTCAAATGAAGAATAGAGAAGATGATGATAGAAAGCTTATTCCAAAGAAACTAGACGAGGACCTCCTCAAAAACTGATCCTGAGTACCGAGAATTTTCAAAAATTATAAAAATTTTTTGTGTTTCGGCGGCGACGGCTGGAAATAGACGATAACTATGTATGGCAACGGCGGCGGCGCGGCTGGAGAGTTCCAGCATCGGCGGCGGTGGCTGAGATTTTTTCAAAAAAATCGGCGGCGGCTCAGCCGCTCGCCTTACACCTCTATTTACATTCCCCCTTATTCAATCTGAGTTCTTCCTGAATCTCTTATCTATTGTAAAAATAATTTACTTGATAAAAATATGGAATTGGTTCTGATTCTCCTATATCATTAAAATTTTCTACATTAATTAATTGATAATCATAAACAAAACCAGCATTTGTTGTTTTAAATTCTTTTTGTTGTAAAACATGTTCTAAATTGCCTAAATTTTTATATCTCCAATTATATAATGAACATAATGATGCTCGTGCACGACCTTGTGCATCTAAATCAATAGTTGGTACACCAAGACGAACTAAACGTGTAAATAATGCTTGTTCCATATTTGAATATTTTTGAAAAGCCATATTTTTAATAACTGGTGGTAATTGATGATGATCACCAATCATAATACAACGTTTTAAACGATTTCGTCCTTGTTGATCTGATGTTTGTAATAATAATGGTATAAATGTTTCAATTTCAAGTATTTGTGCTGCTTCTTCCATTAATATATTATCATACTAAAAAAATAAAAATAAAAATAAAATTTTGTTTTTTTTGATTATTTTTTATTACTTTAAAACCACATTCAACAAGATCATGTCGTTTTAATGCTGCATGTGTACATGTCATAGCAATAATTTTTGCTTCACGTACTAATAAATATTTAGCACGATCAGAACCATTACGCATTAATTCAAATGAACGAAATTCTTCTAATTGTGTAAATATTTGTTGTATATAACGATAACAACCTTGTGCTATTTCTAAATTATTTTCAAATGTTTGTTTATTATCAAATAAATTATGATTTAAATTTGAAAAAAATTCTTTAAATGGAAATAAATTTATTAATATATCTAAATTATTATTTGATTGATTTATTTTACTTAAATATTCTTCCCAACGTGATAATATATTATACATATAAAAATGTGCAGCTGTTTCACATGTATATGATAAATCACCTTGTACATGTAAACTTTTTTGTAAATATTCAACTTGTTCAAGTAATTCTAAACGTTTTTTTAATATATAATTAACACGTCCATAACGACTAAAATCTTTATCTGTTTCAAGTTCTTCTTCACCATGACCAAGACGAAGTAAATGTCTTTCATCAACATCAAGTGCCATTATTTTTTCAAATAATTGATTTAATGCTTGATTTGAATGTGTAACAATTAATGTACGTTGATCAGGATAATTATGATATATATTTGATATTATTTGTACAGCAACATCAGTTTTACCTGTACCTGGTGGACCAACAATAAGTGTTAGACCTGGTTGCATACCAGCTTTAATACCTTCAATTTGTGTTGGTGTAAAACGAACTATATTTTGACGAGGTTTATTAAATGGATATGGACCACGATTTGGAATTTTATAAGGTTCTAAGATAATTAATTTTTCACCGGCATGTTCACCTTTACTACGTAAATCACAAAAAGTTAATCTAAATAGAAAAAAAAAACAGAGAAATTTTTAATAGATATTTTTTTTTTTTGCATTTAAAAATAAAATAAAGCAAATCTCAAATGAATACTAATCTTCACTAATTAGTGATTTACGGTATGTTTAGCAAATCACTGTTTCTTTGGACTTATGAATTTCGATTAGGGGGGATGGGGAGGGCTCCCCCCCCCTCCCCAAGAATTGTCTGTAAGCCCAAGGCGGGAAGGGGGGTACGATACGACCTAGTGAAAATTGATGTCGTTTCTCCCCCCACTCCTAAAAACAATCGACAACCCTGGTGGTGCGACCGGATCACTAGGCCGTTGGTGGCTGAGTATTTCTCCAAAAAATCAGTAACGTTGCAGTCAACCGACTTACACCTCTATTTATGATTCGCATCTTCTATTTCTCTGAGGTATATGAAATCCGTATACACTTTGTAGTTTTATGTATTATCTTCATTTTGTGCATCAAGTATGACACTGATTTACATAGAAAAAAAAAAGACACGCTCGTTTACTCTATCTCTGTATATGATGACGAAAAAAAAACGATGGATTTTTTTTTTTATTAGCTTTAAAATTTGTATTAATTTGAGATTTACTATTTGTTAATTTTAGAAATAAATAATAGAAAATACTTGAATGGTGGTACATGTTTTGATCGATCATCTTCAGTTGCACGAATTTTATAATCAGGAAAACTAGCTCTTAGATGTTTAACATCAATAAATGTATCATTCCAATCTAATGTAGGAATTTTATTTTTCATACTAAAAAAAAAAAAAAACATTATGAAACGTAAGAATTTTTGAAAATTATGAAATATTATTATTGTTTTTTTATTACTTTGTATAATGAGCTGATGCTGGATCACCATAACCTAATATTAAATCTTGTAACCAATCAGGTACAACAGCATTTGTATTCATTAAATCACGTATAGTTTCTAAAACAGCTTTAAAATTATTTTCTTTTGGTTTTCTTCTCATTAATATATTAAATGTATCATAAACATCTTCTGATCCATTTAATGTTGCTTGAATATCAGCTTGATATTGATTTGGATCAAGCCATACACGCCATGTACGTGTATCACCCGAAAATACTGGTTTTTCATCAACACCTTAAACAAAACAAAAACAATAATTAAATTAGATTTAAAAAAAAACAAGGAAAATATTCATTTTACCTTCTTCAATAACTCGTCCATCTATATTTAACATTCCTTCAATTTCACAACCTCGTACATATGTAAGACCAACTTGTGGTATAAATGGTTGTCGATAATCATATGTTGTTCCAACTTTTGTTAATGGTTTACATGTAATTAAAAAACAAATATCATGTCGACGTAAATTTTCCCATTCTTGTTTTATATCAGCACGTGTATTAAGTACAAGTGTAACATCAGCTCGAACACGACTTGGATGTGATTCACCTATATTTGCTTTACCAACTTCAACAATAGTAAAATTTGTTATTGATTGTGCCATACGTGACCAACCACCAAATATACATTGTTGTTGTGGTTGATCTGTTTTATCATTTATTATTGTTGCATCATTTTGCCATGGTTTCATACGACTAACGGAATCTTCAATATCTTGACGTATTTCATATGTTGATTCAAGACGAAATAAATGAAAATTACGTAAAAGATAATCATGTAATGTAAGAAATTGTAAATTTAATTTTGGTAATGCTAAACATGTTTCACCATTATAAAATTCTGTTGGAACAATATCTTCATCCCATATTGTTTCTTCCGTTGGATATAATGGTAATGTATTAATTGACTACAAAACAAAAAGAATATTAATAGATTAGAATATCTATTTTAGTAAAAGAATAAAAAAAGTTTCATGCCTTCAATAGTATGTTTTTCATTTTTGATCTGAAATTTTCAGAAGTCAAAATTTCAATATTTTTATGTGATGCAAAGATGTCCATAGCGGCGGATTTTTTCAAAGGCCATAGCGGTGCAGGAGAGATTTTTATAATGCCGTCGCAACAGCGACAGCTTTTTTAGGACAAAATTTCAAAAACTCATAAATTTACACAGAATCTCAGCGTTCATGTATGCTATACTGTAAGATTTAACGAATCTGATCGATTAGCAGTAGCAGTTCTAGTTGAGACCAGTCACAATCTTAAAAAATTAAAGCATTTTTTTGAATACCATCGCGGCGGCAGCGGTAGCTTTTTTCTACACTTCGTCGCGGCCCGACAGCCTTCTTTGGCTTTGACCGCGACGGATTCGCAGCCGCAATAGACATCTCTGATATGATGACACCTCATACAAAACCGTTAGTCTTCTTCGAAAAAGGAGTTCTTTTGTTTTTTTTCTCGTACCATATTTGGTATCAGAAAATTCGATAATGTTAGAATTTTCAGTATAAGTTGAAAGCAAAATGATGAATTAAACTTACTTCTAAATGACTTTGAACTCTTTCATGTTCTGATATAAGTACTTCAATTAAAAGTTCTCTATTATTTATTTGAATTGGTGGTTGAAGTGATGATGCAATAGATTTTAATTGTTCATCAGTTAATTTATCAAATTCATCATTTAATATATCACGTTTATCAATTGATTGAATATTTTGTAATGGAAATGTTGGCATTTCTTCACGAAAATGTTTAAATATAGCTGTTTGTAATTGTAAAACTTTTTCATAATGTTTTTCTATCATTTCATTTTGTGTTAATGTTTCACCAGTTGTATCATTAATTTCAAAATTTGAATAAAATTTAAAATTAGTTAACATTTTATGAAATAAATTTGCTGTTTTACTTGTTGCTTGTTGTTGTTGTTCTTCTTCTTCATCATTTTCTGTTTGAATTTTTTTTTTTATAAATGTTTGTGTAATATCAATATCCATATTTTCATTTGTTTTTGTTAATGATTTAATAAATGATGATAAAAAACAACGTATAACAAAATTAATATTATCAAGAACAACATTAAAAAAACGACGTGTTGGTAATTGTACAATTATATCAGTAAATAATTCAAGAAAACGTTCAGCATAAATAACTGTTTCATATGAATATTGATCAGTATTATTTATTGATTGTATATTTTCAATAAGATGAAGAAATTTTTCAGCTAATTTTCGAAGAAATGTTCGTTCAAATAATGTTGTTTGAAGTTCTTCATTTTCTAATTTTTCATCTTTTTTACATATTAATTTCCAAAGTTTACGAAATTTTGGTGTTTTTTGAAATTCATATTCTCGTCTTTCCTATTTATTTTTTTTTTCAATAATTAAAAAAAAAAAGAAAATATTACATAATGTGTCAAACTTTTTTGTTTTTTTTTCTTGCATTCTAACTTACAGATGTTAAATTAGTCCATATTGTTAAACCAACTATTTTTTGTATTTGAGATCGAATAACATCTAATTCCTAAAGAAAATTTTTTTTATTAGATTTCATAAAAAATATATTTAAGTTAGTATAAAAATAAAAACTGCGATCTAAACATATAATCAAGAAAGAAGAAAACATCGAAAATTTCAATTTATCGATTATTGTAAGAAGAACTGGGTTATAGGACTATGCAACATTGTCAAATAACGGATACGAATATTGAAATTCGCCGTTGTATTTAAGGCACTTCTCTCTTCGAAAAGTCACTTTTCGCTGGAATCATCTAAATTTATGGAGAAATAGTCCGTCACCTGCTCTTTCATATGAAAAAATTTTGGAAGATCTTTGTCATGTCCTATTCGAAAAACAAGCCTTTTTTTTTACAAAAAACTGAAAAGCATTTTTCGTCTTTCTCAGAACGTAGGTTCAACAACGTAGCGCCAGCAGAATTCTATCATAATAAAAGATAAAGTCACATATTTTTTTTTAATTGGAAACCTTGTGTCTAAGGGTTAGTTCCCCTCGTGGTCCTTTTTATTTCCATATAAGAAAATACTTCTATAAAAACAGAGCCATTCTTTTAGGATTTTTTTTTGAGTCATTAAACTTGTCATCGCTTAAAAACTAAGAATATAAAAAAAAAGGGCCACGAGAGGGGCTAGCGCTAGAGACAAGCTTTCAAACAAAAATAAATATTTGACTTTATCTCTTACTATGATAGAGTTCTGCTAGGAGCTACGGAAGAGCTATTTTTGACCCTTGTTTGGCGAATATCTCTGTCAAACGTCATGACATAGGGCTGAAAATTTTACCATAGCCATAGCTCACTACCCCCAACGTATTCTGAAAGTTTTATGTAATTTGGATGTTCGTGAGCTGAGGGGAAGGAGCCTTAAGCGACGTTTCTGATATATATTTCATTTCTCTATCATTAATATTTTATAATAAATTAATCAATGCAGTTTTAAATTCTTCTAAATCAACAGTATTTTTCATATACTTACAAGACTGTTAAAACAATGATCAAGAAACATAATTAAAATAGTTTGTTCTTTTATGGATAATTCATCACCTTCCAAACATAAATGCATAACACGAGAAAGAAATTTACCAAAATGTTCTGGATGTGCAGTTATTGCCTAAATAAATTAAACAAATATATATGAAATAGAATAATCTCTATTATAAAAAATACATACATCCCATGGTTGTACACGTTCACGAAATTTTTCATTAACCATAACACATACAGACATAACATGATATGGTGAACACTAAAGAATTCTTTTAAATATTTATTTTCAACAAAAAAAAAACAAAATCAAACTTTACTTGATCTGGATTTAAATTTGGCCATAGAAAATTTTCTAAATATTGGCTAAATTCTAATAGAATAATTCGACGAAGATTAAAACTAACAAAAATATAAATAAATAATCAGAATCAATAAAAACACAATAATTTCTTATTCTTACTTAGTACCCAATAATTCTTTTATATAAATTTCATCAACAACTAATCGATCATATGCACGTCTTTGTAATGCATATGATGCCCAATATTGTTCCGAAAGCTTAAAAAAAAACAGAATTAAACAAATAATCATTTTCATTATTTTGTTTTTTACATACAAGTGTAATTCGATCTTTACTAATTTGTTCAACAGTTGGTGCTGTATTCTGACCTCGTGGCATGATCTAGAAACAAAAATCTACATACACACATAATCAAGAAACAAAAAAACCAAACATCTTCCTTCTTTTTTTTTTTATTGAGATAAATAAATAAGGTTTTAGTTAAACGAGCTAAGAATATAACAATGAGAATAAGAATGCTCGCTATTTCAGAACAAAAAAAAAAAAAAAAAGAAACTCTGTGTGACTGCTTACACAATAGACATGATAAAAATGAATAACGGAAATGAAAACAAGCAAACACACACACACACGCGCTCGCACATATATTATTATATCTATATGTATGTATCAATTGGAAATCCAATGATGAAGAAAAAAAAAAAAACCAAACAAACAAACAACGAATCTTTCTTTTTTTTTTTTTGTTTTCTATTGAAGAATATTTCGAATTTCACGATGTAAATGATAAAGAAAATCAACATATGATGCACCACCTGTGAAACCTTTATCTTCGATAAGATAATTTTTAAAAAATGGTTCAATTGAATCACGTTGTTGAATGATAAAAAGCTTAAAAGAAAAATAATAATTAATTCATTTTAAAAAATAACAATAAAATCTTTTTTTTTCTTACTTTCATAAAGGTATCTCGTTCATTACGAATTAAATTTAATAATGTTCGAACTGTTTTTGATATTGGATTATCAAGATCAACAATACGACACTAAGATAACAACAAAAAAATAATATTTAAATCAAAGAAATTATTTAATATATGTACTTTTTCTGGTTGAATATGTGATGTTTGAATACCAAATAATGATTGTACAAATGTTGGATTAATTTGACTACCAAGCCAAATATACATTACAATACCATTTTCTACAAAAGTATCGATTATATAGAAATTCATTTTTAATTCAAAATTAGGAGTAGAAGTATTTTACAAACACTTCAGATACATATATATATTTATATACGTTGAATCAGATCCTAACGGATCTACATCGGAAAATTTTCAACTCAATAAACTCTGATCGTCCGAGGAGTGTATACAAAAGGAGAAAGAAGAAAAAATATCTTCGAGATGAATCTTTGCAACCGAGTTAGAATAGTTTTACTGAATTCTATGGATAAATATCGAAAAATCAAGTAATGGTATTTCAAGCTAAAATTTTGTCTATAGATAGTTTTAATAACCCCTTAGAATATCTTGGACGTTTGAACGGAAAGAAATGTTTTTCTTTGTCGAGATATTAACTCTTTTTCTAGTGTTACCGAGCTCCTATTGTGAGTTCAATATGCGCTCAAACGACGGATGTTAATTATTATTATAAAAATTCGATATAAAACTACAATACTTTTGCTTGCTCAGTGTTTTATCTAGGTGTCGTTTCCGGAGTGGGCGGCGTCCACTCGGCCCACCCAGTAGACGAATGGCTGCTGTATATTTTCGAGTGGGCGAAGCCCACCCAGTAGATAAATCACTGTGCTTGCTACAGTAAATGAACTTATCTTCATGGTTTCTTTCTGTCAATCTAAGGTCAGAAAGAATGACAGAATCAGCTATTCGCTTTGTTATCGAAGAGTACTCTGCATGGAATAAATATCTAGTTTTACAACGATCGATATCAAACACTAAACATATTCTACTATAAGTCATTATCAATAGTTCGATCTTGAAAGAACATGTTAATAGCAAAACTCAACATATAATATATACTGATTACATATTATTAAAGACTGTATTATGTAACGAACATTAATCATGACTATGGCAATATTTGTTTATTTCTTATCTATAAATATTCATACCAAGAACATAAGCTCCTGTTTCCGAAAATCGATCATATGAACAACGAATCATTGGTGGTGGTAAATGATCTTCTTCCAAATTATGCTAAATATAAACAAAAAAATAAATAAATTCTATCTAAAAATAGTTTTGTATTATACAAACCAATGCATAAACTCTTGGATATAGATATGCAAATGTTCCTTTAATACCCATAGACATTAATCGATGCATTAATAAATTTCGATCATCAGTTGTGACTGTTTGAGCTAAAATTTCCAAATAAATAAAATATCATATTTCTACAAACAAAAAAACATACTTCCAGTTAAAGCATCACATTTAATTAATGAAGTAACATAAACTGGTAATAATTTTAATGTTTCAGGTAAGATTAATTGTCCAGCTGTTGTTGATTGTGCACAATTTTTTCTATAACATGCTAACATATTTGCTGCTTGTGTTATTATACTATCACGTATACTCTTCGGAGTTGATACTGTTATTGATCGTATAGCTTAAATTAAAAAAAAAATACGAAAAAAAAAAAGGTAGTTTAAATTTTTGAATATATATGTAAGCTTCTTTTATACTAACCAACTTTTGTTATATAATTCATAATTGTATCAAGATCACAAGCTGGATAAAGTGTTGTATATGCAGATGTAACTGTTAAAGCTAATGTTAATATACGTAAACGACGTTGACCTGATATACTTGTATAAAGTAAAGCAGCCTATACATAAAAAAAAACAAAAAAAATTTTTCAAAGAATTAAATAAAATTAAAATTTACTTGAATATAAGTATTGCTTTCAACAGGTAATTTATCATCATGTTTTAATTCAACACATACAGATTTATCCGAATCAATACTACCAAATATCATTTCAGTAGCATTTGTCATATAGAAATTACCAAGAAAATCAATTGGTCGTATGCCTAAATAAGTCAGAAAAACACAAAACTGAGATTTAGTAGTCTCTAGGAAAGCTTTTTTTTATTAATAGTAAGCGAACTAGAGGAATTCCTATGATACATAAGAAAAGTATGAAGAACTTACAATATTTTTTTTTAGCATGATTAATTTCTGTATTAGAATTAAAGAACATACCTGCACTTGTTCGTACACGCATTAATGCATCAAAAACTGTTGTACGTTGAAAATTTCTTTTTAATTCATCTAATAATCTTTCACCATCATTTTCAATCTATAATAAATATTTTATCAGTTAGCAAAAAAAAAAAAACATTCTTACTGAAAAATAATTAAATTTATAAATTTGTCCCCCAGATACACGACAAACTTCACCAATTGTTGCTAAATCAAGATAATTATTTGGAAAAACAAATAAATCAACAGCACAACCATGTTGTGCACATTCTTCACCAAGTTTTGTATAAATATTATTAACTGGTGCAAGAAGTGTCTAAATTATTTATAAATTTTTTTATTAGAAATAAATAGAAATAAATTAATTAACAAACTTTTTCTTTATCAGTTCCAAGTAATTTTTTATCATCTCGATTTGTTAATTTTCCCGGTGCAACAGATATTGGTAATGTTGTTGAAAAAATATAAATTTTACCTGCACAATTTGCTTCCTATATTAGATTTTATATAGAAAGAATGAAAAACAAAAAACAAAATGATCTACTTTTAATGCTTGAATACCGGATTGAATAACCGGTGCTAAAATTGTTTCTGTTTCTTGTGAATTAGCAAAATTTTGTGGAATTTGATCAAGTAAACTTTAAAAAATAAAAAATTAATATTACTTAACGAGAAGAAATAATAAAAGTATACGAAGCATTCGATAACAAATTCATAGAATTTCACTCTTACATTTTATTATTTCTAATGTTTTTCAATCATTTTGTTTTGACTACTTTCAATCATGATTCATATTTTTGTGTACTCAAAAAGTGAGTACACTATAGAATCGATCAGTGTGTCCGGTCGACCGTTTACACGATAACTTTCGAAAGGAGAGTCAGATCGTGATGAAATTTTCTACACAGTTCAGTCTCAGTCGAGTTCGAAGATGAGAAGGATCCGTCAAGAAATGGCTGAGTTATCGAAAAAATTGTCATTATTGACCAGACCATCCCTGAGGGGGGTACAGGGATTTTTTCTCAGAATTATTCACAACCTATATAAATCGACTCAGTTTTTAACGCTGATTCCGAATCTGATATTAGTTTTGAACCAAATCGTAGCTTTCTAACAAAACATCGCCTGAAAAAGGTCTCAAAATGCACAAAAACTGCGTCCAGAAAGCAAATTGTCTAGATATGTCTCAGATGATAAAAAACAAAGTGAATATACCTGTTCACTTTTTGAAGTACACATAACACTCGGATTTTATTTTTTTTTTGAAATCGAATTGATTCTATTACTGTTATTTACATAAGGATATGATTAGTGATAAAAAGTTGATACTAACAAACTTTTTATCGAGTACTTCATATACTCATTGATTTTAGAATTTGTTTTATTTAAATTTTTTAATTACCTATTTATAACTCCACGTGATTCTTCTGGTGTACTAAGAAAACCATCAAGTAATGGTACAAATATATCTTCAAGATCCGAAACAATCATCATTTGTGGTTGTCCAAGTGTATTCTAATAAAACACAAAAAAAAAAGAAAATCATAGTTTTGATTTTAATAAAATAAAAAAAAAACAGAAGAACAAAAACTTATCTCATCTAACGAAACAACATTTTTACATGCAAAAGAATTATAATAAACAGCTATTAGGAATTCAAAGCATTAAACAATATTAATAGATAAAGACATGCAATTTGTTTTCTATGACAAAACAACAAAAACAAAACAGATTCTACTTGCCCCCTAGATGAAAAAGATATTTGTCAAAGAAGTTTTTAATAAATCCGAAACAAAAACAAAAAAAAAAGTTTTTGATTATCTTACTTTAATATTATAGAAATGTATTTGTTTATCAAATGTTGCAAAACCAACACGAATATTCGACGTTTCAGCAGTTTTATCTCTGTAAGAACCAAAAAAAAAAAAACACATATTTTCGAAAATAAAAATATTAAAGCAAAACAAACTTTGGTAAATAATTCAAAAGTTCAGTTTTTAATATATGACATATATATTCAACAAGACCACTACGAACACTACTATACGATACATCAATCATAAATATAAATGCTGGTGGTTCAGGCCATTTTTCATCCTAGAAAAAAAAAAAAATTATTAAATCTTCATTTGTTCTGAGTATGCTTAGATTTTTCTGAGAGGAAAAAAAACACAATTTATATTTATAACCAAATGAGAATTTTCAAACGATACAAATCTTTCTTTAACATCTCTAGAGTTTATCTTGAAATTATTCCGATATGTTTATTCATTAATTACTTTTTTAATTAATAATCATGTGAAAGAATCTATATTCTTATGTATGTCTACACTAAAAGAACGTATAACTTTTGAAAAGAATCAAGGTGAGTTAGTGCTGTTTCGCTTGAAATGATCTATATTTATATTTCAAACAAAACTGTATTGTAACAAATATTCTTTCTTAATAATGAAAATGGAAACTAGATTGAAATGATTTACAAAATGAAGTTTAAACAGAATATTTGTATTAAGCATGAACTGAATTCAAATGTTTGGATTTAGTTTTGATCGTGTTCATTTCCAGTTAACTGAAAAAAAAAGGAAGATAAAATTGAGAATTTCTGATTTGAATATAATAGAATAAATGATTTCAAAATCGAAGGTCTGTATAGATCCTTTGAAAAAGTGAATAATGTTTAGAAATCTTCAAATTCGAACTTAAATATTTCTAATGATGTACTTGAAGAAACTCTTAGACAATTACTCAATACTGTTTCTCAACTCGAAGAATGTTTTGCGATTGGATCATTACACTCTCGTCATTGTCGATTCGAACCTTTTTCAACAATGCGATACTGTCCATTATAAACATTCAGAAAGATCTGAAGAATGGATTATTGACATGGATAAAATATTAAAAACATCAATGTTTAAAATCTTGTTCGAAAAATGATCCCATATGTAATAAAGAAACATCTTTTGATAAATTTTTTATCATGATTAACATACTTTACAATATTGTTTTGTTGCTAATATTTCATATGAACCAAGACAAAGTTCTGGTCGTTGATACCAATCCATACGACGACCACTATGATCAAGATGAGTAAAATATTCAGTAGGTACTATAGTATATTTATATATCATGAAAAAAAAAAAGAATTATTTTTTAAGGAAAAAAAAAAAGGAAAATATCGTTTATCTAACCATCAGTTGCAGCTTCACAAAAACAACAAATAAAACGTTTACCACCATCAATAAATTGCATAAATGAACACATATAAGCTTTACAACGATGACATCGTATTGGACCTATTTCACCAAAATTAGTAACTGGTGGTTCAAGCTAAAAGAAAATTTATTAATGAAAATTAATTGATAAAATTAAAATTACTTCATCCGATCGTAGATTAGCTAATGGACTAATAGCAAGTGCAACTGGTATATGAGATTGTTTAGTCATATCAGTTGCATTTGGTATAGCATATGTTGTTGAACGAATAAAACGTGGATTACAACTACCTTGATCTTGACAAATAAAATCTGTTGCTGCTAATGGTGGTAATAAACCAGGTGCATTAGTTATAAATGGTTCTTGATTTTTTTCTTGACTTTGTTCGAGAACTTGAACCTAGAAAAAATTTTTTTTTGTAGAATTAAAAATATTCTAATATAAATTATAACAAGATAAACTTATACGTACTACATTAGGTACCATATCAGGATCAATACGTTGAGATTGATATGGCTGTTGTATGGGTCCAGTTGATGGTGGTTGACCAGGATATGTATTTGGTCCATTCAATTGACTACCTGGCATAGTTGGTGGACCAGATAGATGTGGTTGATTAGGATAATGTGGTGGCAATTGTTGTTGAGGATAATTAGTTGATGATAGTGGTGGTTGACTGCCTGGAGGAAATGAAGTTGGAGGAGCATTGTAAGATGGTTGACCACCAGGATATGTACTTGGTCCATTTAATTGACTACCTGGCATTGTCGGTGGAGCAGATAAATTTTGTTGATTAGGATAATGAGGTGGCATTTGTTGTTGAGGATAATTAGATGATGGTAGAGGTGGTTGACTACCTGGATGAAATGAAGTTGGTGGAGCATTATGAAGAGGTTGACCACCAGGATGAACATTTGGCCCATTCGATTGGTTACTTGGCATTATTGGTGGACCTGATAAATTCGATTGATTAGGATGATGAGGTGGCGGTAGTTGTTGAGGATAACCAGCTGATGATGGTGGCGGTTGACTGCTCGGAGGAAATGAAGTTGGAGGAGCATTGTAAGACGGTTGAGCACCAGGATATGTACTTGGTCCTTTTGATTGAGTACCTGGCATTGTTGGTGAAGCAGATATATTTGGTTGATTAGGATAATGAGATGATGATGGTTGTTGAGGATAACTGTTTTGTGGTTGACTGCCCAGAGAAAATGCAGGTGGAGGAGCATTGTGAGGAGGTTGACCGCCTGAATATGAATTTGGTTCATTTGATTGACTACCTGGCATTGATGGTGGACCAGATAAATTCGATTGACTAGGATGATGAGGTGGTAATGTTGGTTGAGGATAGCTACTTGGTGGTAGTGATGGTTGACTGCTTGGAGGAAATGTAGGTGGAGGACCAGTGTAAGGAGGACGAGTACCAGGATATTGTGCTACGCCGCCCATGCCTGATGGTGGTTGATTAGCAAATGGAGCTTGTTGTTGTGAAATTTGAGGCGTCGGAAATGTTGGAGGTGGGCCGAATTGATTAGATGTAAGAGGTGCGGCACGCATTTGATTAGATGTTGTTGGTGGTCCTTGATTGGGATAAGTTTGCTGCATCATTGGTTAATCTTTAAAAAATGTATAGTTGTGTGTGTGTATATATGTCAAGATATGTGTGTATCAGTTTATTTCAAATAATAACAAGAATAAATAAAAAAGCCAGAAAGTGACATGAAATAACAAGATGAAACAATACAGAGAATAATTGTAGTGTATGCGTGGACGTTTTTCTATTGGTTGCTGATCACCATTCTGTCATACATAGGTCGTCACTGATAATGAATTATTTGAAATATTTTAAAATAAAAATTAATAAATAATATGAAAAATAGGCTTTTCATAGAAAAGTTACAAAGCAAAGAAAATTACTTTGAAATCTTCAGTTCTTTTTATGTTGACATTCTCGACTCTTAACGACATCTCTGATATGGCAAGCAATTTTTCGACAACTATGAAATTAATATTAGATTCTCTAATGAATGAGTTGAAGACGGAGTCGAAAAAAAAGTAGAATAGTTACTTCTCTAGTATTTAATTTTATTTTTGTAACAGGCCAGTCGAGAAGATCAAGATGATTGAGAGATTCAGGTAAAAATTATTAATGTGATACGAAGCACGACATTTACGTATTTTTTGCTGTAAAATGTTTCGAGATGATACAAACGTTTTTGAATATTCAATATGAATTTTCATTTGTCTTCAGTAAATTTCACAAAATGGTGATTGTGACGGTATGGCCGCCATCTTTTGCCTGAGATAATTAAAATTGCTGAACTAGTCTCGAGAACAGAGAGTTAAAACATACTCAGATAGATGTTCTTGTACTGCTCTATTCACACATCGAATAAACTAATAGATTTGTAGATGCTAGAAATAGCAGGAATAAAAGAAAACTTATTGCAACTACAGCAACAGAGTAAATATCTATCTCATTATAACAAAAATATATAATTTACATGATATTATGTGTTTTGATTTCAAACATAAGAGTTTCCTACAGAAAAAAAAATTCTCCACAAATCTACACTGTTAAAATAACTATTACCTTCTTCAATCTATGAATGGTGTATACATAGAAGACGTGTAGAACAATTTTTCAACATAGAATTTTTATTCAAATAGAATAAACGATATATTAAACAGTAAAATTAGGTATATGATACTATTTACAAATGAATAATTGGAAACTTTTGAAAGAATGAAAAACGATACTCAAATATGTAATCTAATGAAACCCAGAAGTTTTTAGATCATCTGTAGTTTGTTTAAAAAAAGGTGGCCGTGACCATTTTTACCATAATTCAAGAATGAAAAGAGCTAGAGAGCTGCGGTTTTCATTAATTGAAAGAAGAGACATTGAGACGTAATTGTATACTATGAAATCCTTTTAAAATCAACGATTTTTATAAAAAAAAAAACAATGCACAATATTCTCTGTCATTGAGATGAAGTTTTTGAGGCAAAGAAAATTTTGCTTAAAAATTAAGTAAAATCCATATTTTTCGAGGAAGCAAATAGAGAATTATATTTGCTTAACATTAGAATATGTGAATAAATATGTAGAAAATATCGACCTTATCAGATCCTAGAACTTGACAGCATTGAAAATGCCATGATTATTTAATCATAATATATTGTTTCATTCGATTTTAAGCCTTTATCTTCCTTTTTTTTTTTTAATACAAGTACAAAGGGGAAAAAAAAAATTAGGAAATCGGTTAAATCATACCATGAGAATCAAAAAACTAATCAACAGAAGGAAATAGAGAACAAAACAAAAAAACTTTCACGCGCACACTTGCACTGAAACACATATATGTATATATATAAAAGACAATAAACTGCATATAATAACAAACGAATCCAAAAAACAAAAAAAAATCACAAGTTTATCATCTTTTTTTTTTGTTTTCTTTGCTAAAACTTGTCTTTTTCATGAAATACTGTCGTAAGTTCTTAAAATAGAATACCAACTGACATATTCATATAAAGAGATTTGTATGAAGAAAAATCGACGGAAAACAAAACAAACTTTGTATATATAAATATATATATACGTATAAATCTATACAAAAAAAGAAAAACACATTCGAGAAAGATTTAACATTCAGTACCATGAACAATTGGTGATGTTAATGTTTGATATCTTGTTTGTTGTTGAATAGAAGATGGTGTAATATAATGTTTTTGTAAACTATTTTGTCTTGATTTAACAAGACCTGAACGTATAGTATCACCATTAGGTAAACAAACAACATCTGATTGACCCATACCAGAATCTGTTGATGAAACAGGACGTTCTTCATATAAAAATGATGAATTATCAGAATTAGGATTATTTAAACGTGTACGAGAATTTGAACGTGAACGTGGTTTAGGTAATGGTAATGGACTTTTATCGAGATTTTCAATTGGTAAACGAAGTGAACTTAATGTTGAATAACGTGGTTTAGGTGGAGGTGGTACATATCGTTTTGATGATGATGATGTTGGAACAAGAAATGAACCACTTTCTGATAAAACATCAGTTGTTGTTGAATAAACAGGTGATTCATTACCTTCTTCTTCATCATTTTTTATTGTTGGTACAACCATAGTTGTTGGTGATAATGGTCCATATTTATTATCAATTATAGGATGATCATAAAATTTATTATTAACTGTACGTGTTCGTATTGGTATTGAATTAACACTACTTGTGCTAGAATCTCGATCAGTATATTGTTGAAGTTTTTGTTGATGATAAGCAGATGTTGGATGAGAATATTTATCATTTATTAATTGTGCTGGAGTATCATAAACAGTTCCATTCTATAATAACAAAAATAATTAAGATTTATTATATAATTCTGTCGAATCAAATAAACATTCTTCATTTAATATGTCAACTATATCACATTGTAGAATTATTTATGATACATCGAATAACATATGGATTCACTATTTTAATTAGAGTACATATCAAATCAATAAATATAATTATAGATATTTATATTATTCGATGTGTGTCAAAAGTTGTTCTACAAACTTTTTGAAATGAAAAAACATTTATCTTATTCGATAAGATTCTTTATATGAATTTTATTTAATGTATTGAACAAACCTGATGAAGACGTTTATCATTTCCATTAGCAACCAAATGTGCAATTGTATCGTCTAAAATAATATTACAAAAAATTTCAAATTAATTATATCAATAATATTATTATAGATTTGATTAATAAATATTAGCATAAGGGATCACTATTGTTTTCTACATAGTATCTTACCAGTTGATGGTTTCAATGCTTCACTCTCGGTCGATGAGTGGGGATATTCTATAAGAATATATATATATATAAATAGATGATTATTTTTTCTTTATCATGAAGAAAGAAAAAAAATATTGTCTATTGAAGAATGTAGAATATTAAAAAAATAACCCATAGACTATACATGCATAAATCATGCGAAATATTTCTATTTCATTGTTTAGCTACAAAAGTTTTTGTTTTTTTTTAAATTTTTATTTGCAAGTCGAAATAATAAACATACACCGACAATATAATAGAATACGATTGAATTTGCTTTCTAATGATAAAATAAATTTTTATCATCGTCGGTGAATATATATTTAATATATCAATAGATGAAAATAATTATTTTAATTTTATATTGACAAGAAAGAATTTAAAAAAAAAAACTAACTTACTAGTTGCATGATTATAATCATCTTTATGTACAAGTTTGGTTTGATCACGATTACATGCTCCACAAAGACAACAAAGAAAAAATAAGAAAATTGTACCACCAAATATACTTGCAATAATAATCATAACTCTTCTATTAATAAATGGTGTTTCTCTTTGTACTAAAAAAAACGAAAAAAAAAAAATTTCTTCTATAGTTTTTTTTTTTGTTTTTAATTATTTACATATTGGTTCATTTAATCGAATAATATAACCATGAGTATTAGGTGGTAATGATCCATAACGATTAAAAGCAGAAACACGAAATTCAACTGGTTCATGAAAATTTTCTAATGCAAATATACAAGATTTAGTTCGAGCTATTTCTTCAAACATTTTTTTATTTGGTTTATCATTATATTTAAATAATGTACAAGCATAACCATCATTATCACCTTGTGCATAACTTTTTATACAACTTATTGTTATAGTTACATTAGAAGTATATGTATCAACATTACAATGTGTTATTGCATCGGGTACACCTACAAGAGAATAAAATATGAATCGATTTTTTTTTAGAAAAAGTTTACAAATAATAAATATAACAAAAAAAAAGAAGTAAACCCCCGGACACATTAGAAGACCCCCACCCTGTAGTAGAGATGACCCTCCCTTGAATCAACGAAGCGAAGGATAGATGAGAAGACCCACCCATCTCCTCTGACGATCCCCTTAGAAGCAGGTTCAAGAGAGAGTCATCTCGACTATAGGGGTGGGGGGGGGATTTAATACTTGTACAATTGAAAATTTTCAGTTACAAAAAGAAATGAAAAGTTTTTCAAAAAAAAATCTTGTATTCATTTTTATCGTACTATACGTCTTTTTTCTTTTTTTTGCTATTAGTAAGAGACAAAAGATAATTACTATTTGACAATATAATTAATGACTATCGTCTGTTCCGAGAAGAAAACAAAGAAGGTCATAGTTACTATCGATGACATTCCATTGCCAAAAATAGAAAGTTCAATTATTACTATATAGAGAAACTTAAGATATATAGGTTAATTACGAAAATCATTGAAGCTTGAAGTCAATAGATAAAATGATAAGAGAATATGAAAGATTTTATGAATTTGATAATATTATTATCAATACATCTAAAATATTTCGAATTTTCTATTAGAAAAAAAAAAAAATTTTTCGATTAATTCCAGAACATAGTTCAATACTAAAAATGATCGATTTAGCTTATGGCTATGAATCAATTAACACTAGAATTCATAGGTACCCTTATCGATAATAACGGAAGCAGATGATAGTCATTCGATTGTATACTTATATATAAAAATAGACATTTTCTTTTTTTCTTGAAGCAGAAAAAAAAAAAAGAATACGTATTGATTACAGATTACGAAATCAACCGTTTAAAAATCTGATTAATATTTATATTATGGCATATAGATATATATAATAGAAACGTGCCACATCAAAGATTTTTTATTGAACAGTTGTTCTGTTATTTCTTCTTGTCATATGAAGGTCAATTTTATTTCTTTTTATTTTACCTCCATGAAGAAGTTCATAAGTACATGTATCAAAACCAATACTATTATTTGCTGTTACATTAAATGGACGAAAATGTTCAATTGATGTTGGTGTTATATCAAATGTATAATAAAAATCATGTTGATCACCATATGTTCGATGTATAATTGATGATGATAAACCATTAATTGAATACCGTATATATATCGGATTAGCACGTATAACAGTACAGTTAACTGTACGTGTTTGATTTATTCCACAATAGATTTTTTTTGATTTTTCAGCAACACTCGGACGGACTAGATAACAAATAGGATATATATATATATATATACAATAATAATGGATAAAAGTCTCTGCTTCAGTCGTTCTCGATCACTATATATGCTGAACGTATTTGTGCACCAGCACTTTACTAAGAATGTTGGTCATTAGCATTGCGGAGTTGTTCTTACTTCATTACACAGAGAATTTTGATGGATAGCACCTTTTTTTTTTTTGTTTTCAGCCTACTCTTCAGTATGTAATGCTATGTCTCAGTTATTCGACATTATTGATTTTATCAATTCTTTTAAAGATTATTGTGAAGAAGATATTAATGTTAAGATTTCAGAAATCTTAATATTCGAACAACTAAACTTATCTTTTAGATGATAAAAGGATTACAGCCAGAAGTTCAATTGTATATAAAAAAAAATATCAAAAATTAATTATCAATTTAATAAGAAATAACACCAAATTTTATATGCAGTCTTTTCTTAGGTTATACTGCTTAGAGCAAAAAAAAGTGTCGTTCATTATAACTCTTTTTTTAATTAAGCAATACCGGTGCCGTAAGGCCAATGACCTATATTCTTGATGAATTGCATGTATATACATATTTTCAAACCTTCAGTCCATACAGTGACCGAGATCGATTGGAAACGGAAACTTTTGTTCACTACTATATATATATATACATTAATTAACAATAGAATTTTATTTATTTAAATCTAATGAATAAATAATGATTTGTTTATAATGTCTCGATTTTCTTTTTTTTTAATTAAAATCAAACTTTATACATACATTCCATATAAAGTTGTTTTGTTGTTGATAAAATAAGTTTTTTATCAATATGTTTCATATCAACTTGACATGTTATATTACGTCCATTGTCTGATGGTGTTAAACCAATAATACGATAGGCTTCATAAACACTTGATTTAAATTGATCATTGACAATCGGTGGTGGTTGGATACCATTTGCTAATGCCATGATTGTTGGTATTGTACCATTTTTATCTAATGATATATCAAGTGCAGGACGAGGAGAACCATCGGCAGCACAAATAATATCCAATGGTTCACCCTCAATCATAGCTAAACAATTATTATTTTCATTTCCACAAAATTCATTATTATGCATATGAGTTGATGTATGCATATTGGTCAAGTATACGTGTTGAACGGGTACTAGAGACAATAAAAAAAAAAGAAAAAGGCTTCATTCTATTTTGTTTCAATTATATATTGTATATGAATAAAAAAAAAGGAATTTGAAGTGTATTTGTGTGTGATTCCATTAATCATTAATAGACGTTTCTTCTTTTTTTTTTGTATTTCGATAACCTACAAAAGTAGTTTATCTTATTCAAACTATCTATTATTATAGAGTACAATTGCTCGATTGAGAATAAATCATGTATATAATAAGATATTTTTCTTGGATAATAATAATAATAAAATAAGAGAACAATCTCTCTTTCGAAGAAAAATTTTCTTAATAGTATATGATATATGTTATGGATTAATGATAGAATTTATATGTCAAATAAAAACATTTTCATGCATAAATAAAAATACAATATGATTGCATCATTGATAATAAGATATCTTTTAGCATTATATTCTTTTTTTTTTTTTATCTTTGAACTTACCATATACTTGAAGTTTTTGCCATTCAATATCATCTTGTGGACATTTATATTGACCACTATCATTTTCAATAACATTATTTATTCGTAATAAACTTGTACCATATGGATTTGAATAACGTTCATGTCTTGTTGGTTCAATAATTAAATTTTTTTTACCATCAAAACTACGATATTCATAAGCATAAATAAATGTTGTACGATTGTCACATAATTCAACTGTATCACCACGTTTAACATAGATTATTGTTTGTTGACCATAAGTTAATAATAATAATATAGCAAAAAAATAAAAAGAATAGAATAACATCAGATCATTATACATCATTCATCTAACAAATAGAATCAAATTTTTAACTTCTATGAAAAAAAAAAAAAAAAATGTCAATATAGATAGATGGATGGATGGATGTATGTTTGCGCTTAGAAAATGGGGTGGAGAAAATTGAAGAGTATTTGTTCAAAAGAAAAAAAGATTGATTATATGAATAATAGTAAAAAGAAGATGCTTACTCTACTATTATTATCAGTCTATAAATTTTGAAACAGGTAGTAAGTAATAATAATCTATTATTATATATAGTAAAAGCAGGAAAGATAAAATGAAACTAATTATCTAAAGCAAAAAAAAAAATGTCGACTATCAACCTTGGGAATAGAAAGAATATTAGAGACAGAGAATAAAATCGTTTTCTCTTTTATATGTGCTCTATGATCATCATTCTAATCGGTTTGCATTTTGATCATGTATGCGAGAGAAAAGAAAAACCCGTCGGGTTACATACGACACTTAACGATCCGTTCACGCTCAACTATTAGTAATTGGTGCCGTCGATTACAGACAGCATACGCTTGCCGATTTATATACAATGAATAGTATATTTTTACTGTTCGTTTGTGCTACCCTCGTATATATATATGTTTGTTTGCAAGAACAGTAGGAGTAATAAGAATAAGACGATGATGATGATGATGACGAACTGTTGACCGTTCATATTGCACAACAGTGAGTGTCAATGACATACATACGGTCGACTTGTAAGAGCAGAAGAGAGAAAGTATAAGTTTGCAAGAATGATGACTGATACGATAACATGATTATGTGCATATATGCGTATGAGGAAAAAGTGCCAAAAATAATAATAGCATCCGTGATTCTAATAGGCTAGAGTGAACATTATTATACACTTAATGCCTCGAGAGAAAAAAAAAAAAGAAAAAATTTTACAAAAAAAAAAAAAAAAAAAAGAAATTGACGCATTGTCACATACCTATGAATGACAGAAAATACATATTGACCATTAGCATATTAGATTAGTTATTTATTCGTGGTGTATTTTTTTTTCTGGTACTCCCAAATTAACAGAAACGTTAGATAAACATATAAGAACAGTATAGATAATGATCTGAGAATATTTTCTCACAATTTGTATATGTAGACGATGACGATCGTAGAGTATTTTCTCAATACCATGATACTACTATTTTTCTCCTTCTTCTTCTTCTTAGTATTAGTATTGTTATAGAAAGCAAACAACTAGACAAGCATACTCATATCAAACACAGATGGGATGAGAATTTCTTTCTCAACGATTTTTTTTTTTCTTTGCTCATTTCTATTCTACTTGAAAAAAAAAGATGACCAGAATCATTCGTACACCATTAAGACAAGAGAACAAGCAATGAATGAATGGATGGATAGCGTTGATTCTTTTGTCTCACAGTTTTCTTTTTTTTTTATTTGCTGTCGCTGCATCTATGTGCATTTGCTTCCATGTCTTAGTATGGTTGAAATGTACACACGCACATACACATATAAAGAATGACAGACAAAAGAACAAGATGAAAAAATCGTGCACACACGGTTGATAGATGAATTTGGATAATGAAATGAGTCAACCTATTGATGCATATGCCGACTAGTTAAAGCACGTCCATCCATACATAATAAGAAAAACAATAAGAAGAATAAAAGAAAAGGGAAATCATAAAGCATAAAATATAGAGGAAAAAGAATATTGTCATGTAACATGAGAGTGGCAATCAGTTCTCAACTATCTTGACGAGTCAATGTTAGATATGACACCATTATCAATTGTCCATATTCATCTAACAAAATACTCAAGTTTGCCCTTTTTAGTTTTTTTTCAAGAGATATTTAGTCTGGATCAAGAATATATCTCATTTTGCTTTTTATTATTATTATTTAAAATTTCAACTTTTTCTCGAATAGATCTAAATTTAATTATTTGCGTTTGTTCATTATTTAATTAATTCTCTCTTATCGAACGGAATTATGTTCATTTAATAAAAATGCTATAAATAAAAAAAAAAAAAAATCCTTCTATATTCGACTCGAAGCTAAAAACTAATTCAAGTGGTCACTTTGCAAACAACTCGTCCGAATGATGAAGGCAAAAATCTACATATAAACGAACGCAAGTTAATGACATACTGGTGATGATAGTTGACGACATGAAGAAGAAAAAAAAGAAGAAGAAGAAACATTCAATTTGATTAGTTGCATGTTACTCACATTGATCGATGAGCACATCTCTCAACGTTTACTCACAGTTAAACATCGGCGTTTTACTGGTAGCGTTACATAAGTTTGTGTATGTGCATGTGTGTCGTATATAAAGACAATAAAGGATTGAATTACACACTCAATATACGCAGGAGAGAATAGGCGTACCTGACGCTTCTATAGAATCGATATATCTACAGCATTGTGAAAAGACACAAACAATCAAAAATTGACTTTCACTCTTTTTTTTTTGCTTTTAACACTATTATCGTTCATATCCTCATTTTCATGAAGTTTGCTTATTTCTTTTTTTTTTTTTCTGATGTCGATAAAAGGTTTCGAATGTCTGCAGAAGAAATAAAAAAAAAAAAAACGATGAAATAAAACAACTTTACTACCCTTTTTATCAATCATATATGAGCACGTATGTATGTATATATATATATGTATTAATGTGCATTTTGCGGAATTCTGAAGCGAATTGCTATAGTCTTTGAATCAACAATATATTACTGAAGAGAACGAATGAAAAGTCAAAAAAAAAATCCAATCATCCATGAATTATTTATTTGCATCAATATATAAAAATCGAATATAATTGGTTAATAAATAAACGAATAAAAATTGATCAATATATTTAAAGGTGAATGCATTAATGATTATAAAACCATTCTTTGGGTTTTTTTTTTTCGTATTTCAGATCTATTTACTTTATTATAAGTTCTACTAGTTATTCACAATTATTCATATATTAATATTATTATTATTTAACGAAGAATATTTCAAATAAAAAAAAGAAAAAAAAAAACAAAATCCATATAAAAGAACACAGAACGAGCAAGATATTATTGTGTGTTTTCTATTGTCACGTGCATTTTTACATATATATATATATATTTTTTGATTATTTGGTACGATGTGGACGTTGTTTCTTTTTTGGTAAATAATCATGTATAAAGTTTTTCTTTTTTTTTCTCTGTTTTTACCCTATGAGTATTTATTTATATTCTAGATGGATTTTCTATCTATGACTCATCAATTGTTAATTCACTGCTGTGATGAAACGCAATGCTCACACGGCAAATTCCTCTTTAAACGAAACTAATAATAATAATAATAATAATAATTCTTCTAAACGTTGTTGCATTGAAAAAGATAATAAAAATTGTGTTGCAAGGTAGAAATTAATTCTCTATTTTCTATTTCTTTAGAATATTTTCTTTTTAAAAGTAATTCATTAACTGCATCTTCATCAACAATTGATAATATTTCATGTTCATTAGTATCATCATCAACATCAACTGATTTATTAAATATGGAAGAAAATATGGAAACATTAATTAGTATGGGTTTTACAGATCGTGAATTAAATCGTAAAGCATTAAATAAAGCTGGAAATGATATTGGAGAAGCTGTTACATATCTTACTGGTTCAACATTTTTTACTGATGATTCTATTATTCCAAATGAATCAAGATCAACATCAACATTTATTGGTCCACTTACAAAAGAAGAAATGGAACATCAACAACAACATCAACAACAACAAATTGTACGATAAAAAACAAAAAAATTTATTTTATTTTGATGTAAAATTTTTTGTCTTTTTTTTTAAGGTTGCCTTAGATAATAATTCAAATGTATCTTCTGATGATTTATCAATGAATAATTCAAATTCCTTTACAACAAGTGCTTTTCTTGATCTTGAAACAAAAGTCTATGGAGATAATTGGTCTATTCCATATAAACGTAAATATAATTCAAACGAATATTTTTAACTAAATCTTATTTTTTTTTCTATTTGTTTAGGCGAAGAAGTTCTCGGTCGGTGTCTTTTATCCGCTACTAAACTTGCAATTGCTGGTAAAATTAATAATTTTATAATATCTTTTTTTTTTCCTAATCTATTATATTTCTAGGTATTGCTGATCAAGATGAACATTGTAAAAAATTTATGGAAATTTTAATTCCAGATGCTTTTCGAAAAGTATCTTTTTTTTTTTTTTACTTTTTAAAATTTTTATTCATTTAATTTCTTGTTTTTTTTTTCTTCAAATATTTTAGTTACAATGTTCTCATCATGTTAATAATTGGGGTGTTGAAGTTCAATTAGGTGTATTTGATATGGTACAATTATTAATCGATTTAATTGCTGCACGTCTATCTTATTTCCCAGTACCTATACAATTACTTGAAACTTTAGCAATATTATTTGATCATGATTCAGTTTTTCAACGAAAACATAAAAGTAAACCATATGATCGTTCACTTTATGATAAACAATTAGGTGATCGTATATTGGCTAATTCATCATCATCAACATTTTCTGTTTATAATCGAAATGAACCATATGGTTGGCTATGTGAAATAATAAATCGTTTTGTTTTAAAAGATGGTATACAAAATTTAAAAGAACAATTTAAATGTGAACAACCCTTAACAGCTATTGTAAGAATAAAAATTCTTTTTCTATTATTCTTTTGTTTAATCTAATCAATTGATAACTATAGGAATACAATGCTTTACTTTCCCCATTTGTTAATTGTATGGATTATATATTCGTTGAAAAATATCGACAATTATTTAGTGAACATATTGAACAAGCATTAGATTATATAAAAAATTTAAAAGAAGAAGATTTTAAAGCAAAAGTTTGTTTGATTATTCTTTATAAATAAAATTATTTTTCTATATAAAATTCTTAGTCAACAAATTCAATATTTGAATTACTTACAACATTACGTAAAATATGTTCAGTTGTATGGACTAATCGTCTTGAACAAGTTGAAGAATTACATTTAAATTTATTACTTAAAATGGTTGCTCTATCAAATTTTAATGCAAAAATGAATTCATTAAAAGAAGTAAAAAAAAAACAAGATTTCTAATTAAAATTGTTTATATTGTTTTTTTTTTGTCTTAAGCTTGCAAAAATAATTGAAAGTTGTACATCAAATATTCAAAGTATATCTAAAGCATCTATTCCACGTGATATTGTTAGCGAATGGGTTATTGAACATTCTATACTTTCAAAAGCATTAGAAGGTAGAATAAAATCTTCGTTTTTTTTTTTTAATTTATTTTCTATTGAAATTTTAATAGGAAATATTGATCAAAATCAATATGTAGAAAAAGTTCGAACATTAATGGATTTTATTGCACCAAGAATTTTAAAAGAAGATATTGAAACTATATGGAAAATGCAGGTATTTAAAAAAGAATATATATTTAGTAATCATTCATACATATCTGAACATCTACTTTGGACTAATAATAGTGAAGAACAAAACTTGTTGAATTTCGTTTAAATAATTATATTGCCAATTCAAGTTGAGTTTTGAATATTTATAAGAACTTCAGAATAAATAATATGATTAGGAATATTTGTGAGCATGTACAAACTAAATTAGATAAGAGAAGAAACAATAAGTTTACATTTTCTTATTAGAGTTTGTCGGATCTGAATCCGGAACCAGTTCGATGGACTCTCTTGTTTTACTGTATGGGATCCGAACGAACAATAAGCTTCCCTATGTACTTTGAACATCTTATTTACTTACATAACAGTTTGATTTGATTGAATGATACTCTACTAAATTTCCGAAAGGTGTATTGAATATCAAAATTAAAAAAAAGAAACAATTCTCTAGCATTATGTTTTCTAAAAACAAAAGATTATTTTCTTTTTATTCTTTTAGCATGGTCGATCATTAGTTGCAGTTGATCATTTATTTACATTAATTGCATCGGCAGCAGCAAAATTTAATTTAGAACAACTTAATCATCTTATTGGTTTTATTCATAGTGTACGAATACTTTGTTGTTGTTGTTTTTTTTTTTTTCATAAATATCATATAATATAATTTCTATAGTCATGGAAAACTGAAACAATACTTATACAAGAAAAACTTATCGAATTACTTGGTGCTATTGGTCGAGAATGTCAAAAAGATTCTGCTGCTCGTGTTTTAGAAGTTCTATGGGATATGGTACATGAAGATCGTTTGAGTCGTTCAATGCTTGATCATCTTTTACATTGTCATTTACGTGTATTTAGTGAAGGTCGTTCACCATATGATGCATTGAAACGTGATTATTGTCTTAAATGTATGACAGATTTACAACGTAAACAAGGTTGGCTTGTACCAGCTATAAAACATTTATATGATTTATTACGACATGATTCAACAAATACATTTAAACGTTCTGAACCTGATCTTATATCATTATTAGTTAATAAACATGATGTTATATCAGCATTAATACAAAGTTTATCAACATGTCAATTAGATGTATGGAATAAAACACATGGACATGTTACAATTGATACATTAGTTGATGGTCGTTTTACACATGAAGAATCAATTAAAACACATTTAGATTTATTATCATTTTTATTAAAAAAAGGTAATCTTTATTTAATATTAAAACGTAGTGAAGAATTATGGGATACATTAATAACAAATGAAAATGCAAGTACATTTGATCGTGAACTTGGTTTAAATTGGTTTATAACATGTGTTGAAGATTTAAGTCGTGATTCACAAATGGCTCTATTTGAAAAACGTGTATCAAAACTTGATCCAATACATTTATCACCTAAAGGTAATTACTAAGGAAAGAAGAAGAAAAAAAAAGATATCTTTTTTTCTTTATTTTTTTCATATTATATAAGGTTATGCTTGTTTTAAATTATATTTTGAACGTTGCAATTTGGAACGATGGAGTCAATCAAGAAGTTTCAATTATAATTCAAATACATCGACATCATCAAATGTAAGAAAATATACAAATTATAAATAATAACAATGAATATTAAACTTTTGTCTACGGAACAGAATATATGTAGATTTTTACAAAATGAAGATTACTCTTTCTTTTGGATGAGTAGATTTATGAAAATTGTAAGAAGAATCTTCTGTATATGCTAACAATATCTACCGGAGTTCGCCTTGACCCTAGTAAGATGCATATATTATAAGTAAACGAGTTATGTTCTATTAGGTACGTGTTGAGGACATACAGTACAGTACATTGATAAAATCAGTCAATCATATGCAGCTGTTCTTATCATAGAATATTTCAAATTATATGTCAAGAATAATTAATAAGGCTTGGAAAATGATTTGATAAATATAGTTTCATTTAATTTCCTTCTTTTTTTTGGGGGGGTCTCGTCATCAAATCTTCACATGCTAATAATAAAGTAGTAACAATGTCGTATATGATACTTATTTTTTATTGATTGAAATCCTTTGTAGTTCCTAGATGGCCAATAGATAGTAGTCCTAAAGATGATCACATTAGGATTAAGTTTGTAATCATTACTTTGATAGGTAGTAGAACATTTTGATTAGCATCATCTATTAGAATAAAAGGAAAATAAAAAAAAACTTCTTTTTATTAAATAGTTCCTATCTCATGAGAAAACTACTCTAATTGTAATTTACTGTTTGAACTCATATGTTTTTTTTTTAATAATATGAAAAGTTGAAATTCTCGGAACAAAAAAAAATTTATCTATTGTCATCTTTTGTTTTTTTTTGTTAATAGAATGAAATGTTAGATTATCAATGTATTGATGAATTATGGAATATAATTTTATGTGTTGGTGATGATAATCTTGCTAATGATGCAACACGTTTTTTACTTGATTTATATTATACAAAACAACCAAATCGTACACGTCGTCCAGCAGCTCAATCACTTCATGAATGTTTTTTAAAAGAAGTTTATACACGTTTAAGTTCTTTACTTATATATTCTGTACCTCCATCAATATTATTAACACCAAATATAGAAGAATATTATAAATCATTAAAAACATATGGTGAACAATTAATAACATTAGATAATTCAATAATATTAAATGAATCATCAATTAATATTGATCATCAATTATGGTTACAAAAAATAGAACGTTTATTTATGATAACAGAAGAATATATACATATTGTTGAACATGAACATTCACCAACAGCTCATATAACATCATTTCAAGGTTTAGAATATCAAATAAAAATTGTTCTTGGTGAATTAGGTAAAATAAATTGTCCATATGATATAGTTATTGTTCATTCAAATGATACACTTGAAATGTTACGTTCACGTCTTGGACTTCATTATAAAGTTCCAACACATGATATTCATATATCAATACAAAATACACGTCCATTACCTCCATCATATGATCATTTAGGTCCTATTAATAATGCTATTGCATTACCATCAAATAGTTCATCATCATCATCAACAAATATGATAAATAATAATAATAATAATAGTATTCTTGGTTTATGGTTAAATTCAAAATATTTATATCAAGTTCATATAACACCGGGTACAACAGTTTATATTAAAATATTAGGTAATAATACATATAATCAATCATTAATGAAAGCAAATAATACAGAACCAATACGTTTATATTTATCACATACATCAATTAATATTGATAATGATAATTTAACACGTTTAATACCATCAAATATGATGGCAGAAAATCCAAAAGTTTATGATGTTTTATATAAATTATCATATTTAAATAATAAAAATATACATAATCGTATACGAAATATTCTTCGTTTAATGCCATCTGATATACGTATTGTTGATTTACTTGATTTAGTATCAATACGTGCTGCTAATGTATCATCAACAAATGAACGACGACAATCAACTGAAACAATGAATAATCAACAACAACAAATAAATCCTAAACAAGCAATTGAATATGTTTTTAATTTTGATGAATGTAATTTAATAAAAATATTATATAATTTAGAAATATTATCAAGTAAAATATTACCATTATCAAATAATATTGGTATAAAACAAAGTTCAAAATTATTTCGACAAGATTTTATTGAACAATCAGGTGTTGAATTTTTATTTAAATTATTACAATCATTAAATTATTTTATAAATGATGATTATCAATATTCATTATGTCAAGAAATAACAATATTAATATTACAATTAATACAATTATTATTATGTGGAAATAATCAACAAGATGATATTATATTATCAAGACCAACATCACCAATAGCTGTAACAGCTAATGATAATGTTCTTGATACAATTGATTTTGATTTTCAAGCAACAATTGAACATTTACAATTTGATGAATTTGTTGGACAAATAAAACAATTAATTTTTTTATGTTGGGCAGCTGCTGCTGGAAATATACGTTTACAAGAACAAATTTTAACAATTAAAGAACAAGTTAAATTAGATCGTTATACTTTATTACAACAAATTAATGGAAATGTTTTTTGTCGAAATAGTAGTAAAAATTCAACATCAAGTGATTCATCAATTAATACGAATAATAATACTAATAATAATAATAATAATATACAAAATACTGTACAATTTGGAATATGTGTTAAAAAAGATTCAATTTTACCATTAGATAGTGAAATAGCTGAGAAAATTATTGATATTGTTATGTTTTGTTTTGAAAAACGACCTGAATTTATTGGTAAGTATGAAAGTATTTCCGACGAGTTCGAATAAGAGTTTAGTACTTTCTTCAAATATGAATTTTTCTTGAAAGGGAACATATCAATGACAAAATTTTTGTGGCATCTAAGCTGATGAAATCTCTAATCATATATAAATATTGTCGTAAAGTCTTAAATTATGGATGACTGTTATCATAATATTTTTGCTTGTTTTGAGCTAAGAAGATCGATAGTTTTTCGGAGATATCCGTGAACTTACTTAGAAGAACTCTTTAGCAGTTCGAATTGATCTTAAGAATCATATATCTCGGAAAGAAATAATGAAATCATCCTTAAAATTTCAGTGTGAATAATGTACATAATGAAATACAGGAATATCTATAATTTTCTCCGATCGGTGTTCGCCTAAAAAATGAAATCAATCAAAATCTTGTTTAGACAGGTGAAAACAACTTATGATCTTGTAAAATTATAATAGAACATAAAAAAGACACATAATTATATATAAATTATGGCCTTATAATCTTTTGGTTGAATTCTGAGGAAGACTAGAGGAAACTTTTTCGATGAAAATAAAAGTTTTCTAATCAATGTGAAACTATCCAATAGATTTCAACTTCAAACATGTGGTTATACTTTTTCCATAACAAATTATACATATCTTTCTAGCTCGTCAATATACTCTAATCGCACTGAAATATTCCCTTTTATTGTATACAATTATAAGGTCCCATTTCAGACGAAACGTCTGACCTTATTCAACATTTATACATAGTTAGATTTCTTAACTCAAGCACTATAAATCTTATTTCCGAACTCTAACCTGAGATCATCTCTTACAGATATAGTTTTCCTTTTATACTACATCAATCTTTAACCTTTACTTACTAGTTTTTAATATTTTTAGCTACTTTTCTTATTCAACCATTTTTTGCTGATTTTCTCTTGGAAATATTAATCAGTACAAGTTCTCGTGAAGTTCGTCAATGTGCATTACGTAATATAATTCGTTTATGTAAAATAGAAACATCAGCATGTGATATAAGAGCTGTTATACATCAAATATTATTAAAAGCTCGTTTACCATTATGGCCATCAAGTGCAACAACACGAAGTGCAAATCAAAAATTATTATCACAATCAATTGAATATTTTGATTTACGTTGTCAATTAACAGAAAATTTAACAAAACAAATGCAAATAATACTTAATATAGATGCAAAACAAATATTAACTAATGAATTTAATTGGTTATCATCATATACTGTATCAACAACATCAAATGAATTACGTACAATTGATAATATATTATTTATTGGTCATTTAAGATTTATTCGTACATTATTAACATGTGAAACAATAAATAAAATTGAATTTGGTATTGATTTTATACGTTTAATTATTGATCAATTTTTATTTCCAGCATCAAAACGTATGTCATGTCCAATTGTATCAACAAATAATGATAATGATTCATTAGATGATTCTGTACCTGAACCAAAATGTTCAACAAGTGAAAGTCGTTTAGCTGCATATGATGTACTTGTTGAATTAGTTCGAAATTGTCGTACAAATTTAAAAATTGTTGTGGATGATCTTATTAATCTTCATCATAGACCTATACTAGAAAAACAAACTGAATGGGAGGTTAGATTGTTTTTTTTTTTTTATAAATCATTTTTATTTTAAATTACTTATTTATGAATTTTCTAGTTTATGCCACAAGTCAATCCTCGTGCACCTTGTGGATTAGTTGGACTTTATAATGGTATGTTGAACTTCTAAGATTTAGTTTTCTATAAATCTCATTATATATTTTACTATTAAATAATATTAAAATCTAGTATATGCTATCTCATATAGATGGTGGAAAATTTCAAAAATATTTTCTCATCTTACTGGATCATAATGACTCTTTTCAATCATTAGATGGGTGTCCGCACCAAAATCCGTCAGGTTGATCGCGGATTCTAATTGCCCGAGAAACTTGGAGAGAGTGCTCTTATCACCGGATGTAAAACATTGAAAAAAGATTTCTTGTATCTTCAGGATGACTTTTCAATTTCGATTACAGATTTCTATCGAGAATATGCAAATACAGTTCGACTAGGTTCAGTTCTGAATCAAAAAATTTGAACCCGATGGGCTCTCCTTACTTTCATGCGACCTGGTAAAAATACTGAAATTTGTTCTAACATTCCATCTCTCTCGATTTAGTTATGTCACTAGCTCAAATTACTTTCAAAAATACAATTTACATTATTAATGATTAAATAGAAATCAAGTTGTCAGTTTTTTGTTTAAGTAGATTTTTCTAGAAAAGAAATTTGAAAGTATAGAAAGATCAGTTTTGATATTATTGTGCCAAGATCAAGAAATAACAATACTTTAAATTTTACTGAATTTCTTTTTTTTTCAAGGTGGTGCAACATGTTATATGAATTCAATTCTTCAACAATTATATATGTTACCACAAATATCTGAACATATATTAAGTGTACCTGATGATCTTGATAATACTAATGAAACAAATAAAACAGGTGATTCAAGTTTATTTTATCAACTTCAACAAGTTTTTGGTCATTTAATGGAAAGTAAAATGCAATATTATGCACCTGAATCATTATGGAAAGTATTTCGTTTATGGGGACAAGAAATAAATGTTCGTGAACAACAAGATGCATTCGATTTTTTTACAGCAATGACTGATCAAATTGATGAATATTTAAAAAGTATGAAACAAGAAGAAATATTTCGTAAACAATTTGAAGGAATTTTTTGTAATCAAATGATATGTACAAATGGTTGTCGTCATCGTTATGAAGGTGAAGAAAAATTTATGGCATTAAATGTTGCTGTTAAAGTTGATTCACTTAATGAATCATTAAATCAATTTGTTAAAGGTGAACTTCTCGATGGAAATAATGCTGTAAGTTCAAAAAAAAAAAAAACCAAAATTTTTTTATGTAAGAAATCGAAAAAAAAAATTTTCCTTTTTTTTGTTTTTAATTAGTATTTTTGTGCTAAATGTCAAGAAAAACGAACAACAATTAAAAGATTATGTATTAAAAAATTACCACCATTATTATGTATACAAATGAAACGTTTTGGATTCGATTGGGAAAATAATCGTGCATTAAAATTTGATGATTATTTTAAATTTCCATTAGTACTTAATATGGAACCATATACATTAGATGGTGTTAATAAACGTGAAAGTTTTGTAGAACATGATGATATAACTGATAGTACAAATAATGATTCATTAATTAATACAGCAACAACAAGTAAATAAAATTTCTTTTTTTATAAAGAATATTTTAAATAACTTATAATCAAATCTTATTGAATTGATTTCAATTATTGTAGAAGTAGAAAATAATTTATATAATTATAAAACTAATAAATTAAATATACGTTCGTGAGAATTATAACATAGCTCTAAGCGTCATTCTCATCGACTATAGGCAGTATAAACAATTGCATAGTGTATACTAGGTCTCATTCTTAACATAGATTCATTGAGATTGATTTATATGACTTGATAATTATCGAAATTGAAAATATTGTGATCATATCAAGTACTAAATAATACCCAGTAGAAAAAAAAAAACTTCTTGAGTTGCTATTATTTAATCATACAATTGACTCGATAAGGAATCCTTGAATTGTTTTTTATGTTTATTATAGTGAAATATCGAAAATGAATACATTGCGATAAGAGAAATTTATTTGCAACTTCATTCCGGTGTTCAAGATCAGTTTTCCGAGTTACTATCGTTTTCTTTCTTTTTCACTTCTAAAAAATTCAGCCGACACTGCAGAAAATAAAATAAAGGTTAACCAGAATTAGGCGCCAAAGTCTGGCATTCTTGTAGCCGCCAGTAAAGGCTAAAACTTTTGTGGCAACTACCATCTGACATCAGTTTACACCGCTGACCTCGCTGAATACACTTATTAATAAAACTAAAATTGTTTGTTTTTCTCTACGAACAGATTCTACATGCAAGTTTCTCTTCTAGAAAACTATTCATCATAAAAAAAACGAAATAATTCTATGATTGATAATATTAAATTTTGAATTTAGGTGATAGTAAATCTGTACCACGTTCAGTATCATCAACAAATATGCCAACAATAAATTATGAATTAATTGGTATTGTAATTCATTCTGGTCAAGCTAATGCTGGTCATTATTATTCATTTATAAAAGATATACGTCGTCGTCAAACAAATAATACAAATCAATGGTATCGTTTTAATGATCTAACAGTTGAAGAAATACAATTAACTGAACAAATGCTTGAAGAAGAATGTTTTGGTGGTACATTTCGTGTACAAAAAGATAATAATAATTCAAGTGAAGAACGTACACGTTTTTGGAATGCATATATGCTTATATATCAATGTATTGAACCATCAAAATTACTTCCACCACCATTACCAGTATCATCATCACCAAATACAACACGTTCATCACGTCATTTACCTGGTACAGCTGTTCGTATAAATCGTTCAAATCAACGTGATTCATTATCACAATTAGCTGATTTAGTTGTTCGTAGTGAAAATAGTGATCTATTTAAAATTGAAAAACCATTAATACCATCACGTGTATTAGCTTGTGTTAAAGATGAAAATCTTGAATTTTTAAAAAATCGTGATACTTATTGTGATGATTATTTTCAATTTATATATAAATTATCTAAAATATGTTTTGATGATATGAATATACCATATGATATGGAAATAATTGAAACTGATAATGATGAAACATCATATGAATTATGTACAAAATTAGCATTAAATTTTTTATTTAATACACATTTACGTACACATCGTCGTTTACGTAAAGATAATTTACAACAATGGATACAATTATTAGGACGTTTATTTACTAAAAATTCAACATCATGTACAATTTTTTATGAATTATTATTTGAAAAAAATGATTATGGATTAAAATTATATTTACTTGATTGTCCTATTGATGATATACGTTATATATTTGAACAAATATGTGAAAATATTTTACAAGCAACATATTTTCATATATTAGAAAAAAATCAACATATACATGAAACAAATATAAATGATAATCATGAAACATTAATTATTAATATTGATAATAATTTATTATTATTAATGAAAAAATTTATTGAACAATTAATTAATTTATTAGATAAATATGTTGTTGAACAAATAAAACATTCACAAGCATATTTTCAATTAATTTATTCATATATGAAAATAAATAAAAATTCTATTAATTATTTATTAGAATTAAATATATTTACACGTTTAATGAATTTTTTATTAGGTGAAAATATTGATACACGTCGTTGGAATTCTGGACAAGCAAAAGAATTTGGTATTATACATGAAATAATTGCTAGATTAACATTAGCATGTAATTTAAATAAAGATATATTTAATGAACAAAATATAGAATTAAAAAATCAAATGGAAACATATTTTTATGGTCATTGGGCAAATAGATATTTAAAAGAAATATGTTATGCTTTTCAAGAAATTTCACCATCACAATTAACATGTACAGTACAATTAATAGAAATATTAGCACTTAATAATCAATCATTTTCTGAACAACTTATTAAAATTATATTACAATCAATTGTACAAGCACATACTAATGATTTAAAATCATTATTTAAATTTCTTAGTTATATTCTAGTAAGTTTATTAAAAGAAAAATTTCTATTTATTTGTCTTCTACTATCATTTCTTTCTTAAGTCGAGTTTCAATCTAGAGAAAACTATTGCAGAATTCATATTGTTCAATACTTGTTTCATGATTTATTTTGTCGACGATTTTTGAGAGTTCGATAAACTGTTAATTTTTGATCCTGCACATTTTTAGTATAGTTTTCAATTTGAAACAAGAATAGGAGACAATTTTAATGGTATTCGTTCAAACTTTTTTTCATATTCTTCTCGTCACTTACTTTGAAATGTTTGAGAGTATCTGTTTCGACAATGAAAAGTTTCTACATATGTTACACTTTTCTAAAAGTAGAATCCTACGACATAGTCTTAAATCCTGTTTGTCTCATAGGATTCTAATGAACAGTTTAAAATAACTTTCGTGATTATACTGAAACAAAAAAATTATCGATATATCGTATTTTATGTCCAATTAAATCAAATAGTAACTATTTTATTTAATTACTTATTTTAGTTAGTCGACGATTCATTACAAACAAAACGACTTCAATTAGTATTTGAAGGTATTAATGAATCTGGTAATGGTGATAATTGTCAACATTTTACTGGACTTTATTCACTTATACGAACAAGTATTGAAAGTGAACAACGACGAGCTTATCAAACAGTTAAATTTCTTATTAATCTATCAAATAGGTAAAATTCTTTAAATAAAAAATTTTAGATAATTCTATATTTTATTATTTATTTTCTAAATAGACATAGTTCATGTAAAGATTATTTTTCATCAACTGCTAATCAATGGGAATTTGCTATAAATTGGCTTAAACAACAAATGCAAACATCATGGCAATGGTCACCAGCACAAAATGTATCTAATGAAGATACCGATACACGTTCATTTCAACGTACACGTAGTGCACAATTTACATTAGAACAAGCTCAATCACTTTTACAACAAACAACAATATCAAATAATGATACATCAACAAACGAATTAATGGAATTAAATGATACTCAAAGTCAATCTTCGTCACAATCAACACTTGTTGGTATTGAATAATCCATCCATATACTTTTTGTAAAACTCCGGTGTGCATGAGATGTATTTTTAAAGTGTATGTGTATTGTTGTTGATAAAAAAAAAACAAAATTTCGTTTTTTTTTTGAACGATTGGCAATTGCCATTACTTTTGATTTTCCGTGTTTTCTCTCTCTCTCTCTCGCTCTGGTTTTTTTTTCTTTCTTTACATTACTTTGACTTAAACGAGAAACAATAACAAAAAAAAAATCCTAAGGACTGCGCATGTTGTACTTTGCGTTGTTTCTTAGAAAGTGTGCGCGTGTGTTTGTGTGTGTGTGTTTTTTTTTGTCAAAAAAAAGAAGAAATAAACAGAAAAAGATCATTTTGTATAAATAAACACAACAAGTTTCATATTTAGATTAATTTTCTCTAGAAAAAAAAGATGGGTCGAAAACAAAGAGTAAGTTATTTGAGAGAGAATTTTCTATTGAAATAATATTCATTTACTCTAAACAAGGGTCGTGCTGCTCGAAATGCTCGTCGAAAATTACCACCAAATTTTGAAAGTGAAGAAGCTAAACGAGCACCTCATGTACTTGTTTTTAAACGAGGTGCAACTGGTATGTAAATATGATGATTAGATATTTTATTTAATCGTTAAATTTTTTGTATTATTATAAATAGTTGGAAATAATGTTAAAGAACTTATTAAAGATATGCGTCGAGTCATGGAACCATTTACTGCACCAAACCTTAAAGTAAGTTTTATAATATTTTGTGTATTTTATAACGATTATTAGTATCGCCCATATAACTTCTATGATGTTGTATTTCTAAGTGAATGAAAAATATAAATTATTAAATAATTGGTATGTCTTGTCGTCTATCATACACACTGCATGAAGAGCTCGATATTCGCATTCCGTACGAGTATCCATAGCTAAGATTGTATCCTATATTTTTCATGTCTCGTGATATTCCTAGTATTCGGATATAGAACACCACTGCAGTTGTTTAAAATTTGTAGGCAAACAAATGTTGACGAGGTTTCTAAGCCTTTTACATAAACATCTATTGCTTGATCAAAGTGTTAGTTTATTTTTCTCATATATTGTAGGTTAGTCGTAAAAATGCATTAAAAGATTTTATTGCTATATCAGGTCATTTTCATGTAACACATTTAATGACATTTTCCAAGACTCAATTATCAACTTATATGCGTTTAATACGTGTTCCACGTGGTCCTACATTAAATTTTCGTATTCGTCGTTTTACACATAGTCGTGATATTGTTTCAGCATTAAAACATCCTCAAACATTTCCTAAACAATTTGAACATGCACCATTACTTGTTATGAATGGTTTTCAAGATGATTCAATACATATTAAACTTATAGCAACAATGTTTCAAAATATGTTTCCATCGATTAATGTTGCAACTGTAGGTTTTGCTTTTTTTTTTTTAATAATTTTTATTCAAATCATACTAAATCTTATATAATTAGGTTGATTTAAGTACTATAAAACGATGTGTTTTACTTTCACTTGATCCTGTTAATGGATTTATTGAATTTCGACATTAGTAAGTTGTTAATGGATAAAAGATAACTACAATGGTATTTATTTTTGAATTTTTAGTAATATCAAAATTGTACCAAGTGGTATTAGTCGAGCAGCAAAGAAATTATTACAAGGCAAAGTACCTGATCTATCACGATTTAATGATATTAGTGATTTTATGTACAGGTAAAGTGAAGGCAAGAAGTTTACAAAAAAAAATATTCTTGACTTCTTTCCTTATCTATAAGAACTAGAATAAATCAAAGAAAAAATTCGATTAGATGAAACAATTTTCTCTCAGAAAAGGTACTTCTAAAAAAACACATTCACAGGTTTGGGTGAAAGGTTCTCTAGAACGTTTTCAGGCAAAACGTACATTTTAACTTTAATTCTTAAGATATTTCTTCAGTCAGTGCCATGTTCTAATGAATATGTCTGTCAAAGTTTCACGATCGCAGCTATTGATGCTGAAGAGATCTATGTTGTGACCATTCCAGATGATGAAGGTTACCCACACCTCAAGATTATAGACGATTTCAGTACCCTATCTTTTACACAATACAAACATGTGAACCTTCATTCGTTAATAACAACACAGAGGTTAAAGCATTTAAATAGTAGAAAAACAGAAGAGTGTCACAAAAAAACCTTTTTTGAGTCCTAGAGAAGAAGCAGTGTTTGATCCTTTACACTAAAATCCACCGACATTAGGTTGCTACTGAAATATATACATAATCTATGTAGTTTTTATTTATTCTAGAGCTATCCCTATTTCAAAATGGATATTGTTTTAATCTTTTAGCAACATTTCAATCAATCTAAAATGTGAATGTCGACAGTCAGTTATCGTTTATCATTAAATTATATGTGTATACATTGAGATTTGTGGAGCGTGAACAAGAATCACCCTTCTATCAAATATGTCACCAATGTTCGCTGAAGATAAATCATCAAGAGCTCAGAGACATCTCATTTTCGTTCCGGAATATTTTTTCTCTTAGACGAACTTGTTTGCAAAACGTTTTGGGAGATCTTGAATTTCTAGAAACCTTTCACCCAACCCTGTCAATGGGTTTTTTAATACATCGTTCTTTTGATAGGAAATTATCTAAGCTAATTAAATATGTTTTCCGATTAGTTCTAGCTGTTATTCTTAAGGAAAGAAGTCAAAAAATAATTCGTTTTACGAAGACTTGAAATGATAAACCTGATTCTATATAAATAGCTTTTGTTTTTTTTTCAAGGGAAGGTAATGCATCAGAAAGTGAAGATGAAAGTACTGGTAATAATGATGAAAATGAAGTTATTCTTTCACAACAATTACGTAGTCGTGGTAATTTAAAATCTAATCAAAGTGCTATACGTTTAACTGAAATTGGACCACGAATGACACTTGAATTAGTTAAAATTGAAGAAGGTTTATGTGATGGTGAAGTTCTTTATCATACATATGTTTCTAAAACACCTGAACAAGTAACTGAATTACGTAAACGTAATACAGAAAAAAAACGGCTGAAAGAACAACGAAAACGTGAACAAGAAGAAAATGTTAAACGAAAACAAGAAAAGAAAAAAAAGACACAAAAATCTTCGGTGAAACAAAATGATGAAAATCTGGATGAATCATCATCGGATAATAATGATAACGATAGTGATGAATAAATTATCGTTTGTTAGCATTTGTTTTTGTTTTGTTATTCTTGTTATTTGTATGAATGAATCTAATAAACTATGATTCAGTCGCTGACATGTTCATCAACATTTCTAGTCAAGTGTTAAAATAATCCATAGTAATTTTCATCAATAATTCAATAAACTGATATTGTTGCATAATCATTGAACACAAACAAAAACAAAAACAATAATAATAAACGGCGACTATATTGATTTTGATTCAGATGAAAATTTTCTTCTAGTCAAATGAGATATTAGTAAAATGTTTATGGTCGGTTTAATTTTCTGCTGAGACTGAAATGAAGCTTCCATAAAATGCATGCTATATAACTATTTGATTCGAAATTGCCTATAAATTAAGAATTCCATATCCCACAAAGACTTATTTCAAAAGTTCTGAAATGTTTTATGCAAGCTAGTCTAATCGAAGTCTTTATGTCGGTAAAATTTCAAAAATATGTAATCCTACAGCAAATATTCTGTGAAAACGTTTGGTTTTCTCAGAAACAAGCAACAAGTACGGACTCGTTTCCCAGAAGACACAGTTCACTAAGCTCTATTATAACATTCTGAACTTATTTTATTGCCAGATTTTGGGATTTTACTGTGAATCTCGTTATTTATGTTGAGTTAAAATGAGTCAATTGATAATGAAAATGAGATGAACATCTATTTGAGTATAAAAGCAAAACAAAATTTTGTGCTTGTTTCGAATATGGGAAATTGAAATTTTATTTCAATTTTTGTTCGAGAGTAATAAAATAATTTTTGAAAAGCCCGAAAATTAGTTTCAACAGAACTTTTGCGTTGACGTTTCCAACGACTATGTTTGTTTTTGATCTGCTTGAAAGCATTTCAATATAGATTATGACTAGGATTTATTTAGTTCTTTTTTTGAATATGAGCTTAAACCTGTTATGTCTATTTTTGTTCAAAAGTAGTGAAGCATTTTTGTCAAAAGACATCAAAAATTATGTTTAATGGTGAAAATTATATTCATATAACATATTCTTGCTGTCTGTTTTTGATTTCGATGTAGAATGCACTGAATGAAACAATTTCAAACATTTTCATTTTTAGAGTTGGCATTATTTTTAATAGATGAAATTATTCAATTTTATATCAAATGACAGAAACTACATAATCATTTTTAATTATTCTATCTCATACTTACCTTTGTCTAGAATATAGCATATTGCCTTCAAGTTTCATGATCAAAAAACGAAATAATCGATTGTAACAAAATTTATGCCAATTTTAAACTTTTAATTGGATGTATTATATTTGTAGTTCTTCAAAATTTCTTATTAGTAATTTACCAAGGCTTGAAAACTTCGAAAGAAATGATCATTCTATTTGATGAATTGATGGAATGAGTTAAATGAAAAATAATTGGATTCTTTCCATTAGTATCATAGAGATTTGAGTATGCTTTTTAATTTCAACCATAGATGTACGTGTGGGTGAGAGTTTGAAGTATGAATATCGACGTACTTATCTTTTCTAAGAATTGTCAACCGAGAGAACTTTTTTGTCACATACATCGTTTGGACTCGACACAACCCGTTATATATATAGTAGGTGGTCCAGAATAACTGGCAGTGTCAATAAAAGTGTGGGTAGGTATGAGTGCTGTTCGTGCCTTCAAGTACAGCCACACCCATACCCTAGATCTTAAAGAGACGAAGGATAACGTTTTCAGTTTTATCATGAGTTTCGAGCTTTTCTACAACTTGAACATTGGTCTACACTCTTGATATTGTTTTCCTCAAGTGTTATATTAATTATTTCTCTTGTAATATGTGAAACAAAAAGGGTGTGACTGTAGCTGTGGATGAGGGTGTGTAGATGAAATAGAAAGTCAGACCCACGCTCAGACCCACACTCACCCTGGTCACAGAGTGGCTTATACATAGTGGTATGATACTCAATAGTCTTACGATTTCTCTTTGAGGACACTTACACTAACTAAACAAGCTCATAGTATAGAACATGTTCATTTACGCGTTTTATGATTTGAATCCATTTAGTAAAATATCTGGAATTATTTTTTTTTGTTTGTTTATATTTAGTTGTTATTGTTGAAGAAGAGAAATTTAATATGTGAAGATTAATATGATGATCTATATTGACTAATTTATTGTTATAAGCGAATATGACATATTATACCTGTTATTTGAATTCAATATTTAATTTTTCGAATAACTGCACCGAATATTGATGAAGTATGTTCAGATAATTTTTTTTTATTTTGAAAATTCTGAATAGATTAGTGGAGTTTAAAGACTATGTTACAACCATGGCATGCATTCAAATGACAATTAATTTCGCAAATCTTCTTAAAAAAAACTACATAAAATGTTGATCGAGTTTTACTTATATTTTAAAAATGTGTGACATAAAAGTAAGATTTAACGTTGAAAACTTAAAGATCATATTTATCATTTCATAGAATTTCAATGAAAAAGAAGATCAATAAACCATTGAATCATATTGGTAAATATAAATTTAAGTGATACAGACAGAATGTTTTGGTGAGCAAGAAACATCTCATCGATATATATAATTTTATTTTTATTTTTATTTAAAAATTTCTTTTATATGAAATTTTTCAAGCATATGAACATGTTTTAGGAATTTATTTCATATTCTATGCTAGTTGAAATAATATTCAAGGTTAGTTTTCTTTTCGTTTAATTTACTTATCATATTTGATAATTATATCTTATTCAGTAATAATCAAAGTTGTCGAAACATTAGAAGATTCCCTTGAATATATAAAAACTGAAGATATTCATAGAAGAAACTCTCTCAAAATCATTGTTTTTTTTTCAAATAATTAATATGTCAGTTCTTGATGAATAAGATTTTCTTTCTCTCGTCATAGCAATGTATCAATTTTGAATGAAAGATGTTTTTTTAGAAACAGTTAATGAGAAACAACAATCTATTGAAAAATGCAGTTCTTTATTGAAAACGTATCTATGTATAACTTCAGTGTTCTTTTTTACAGCATAATCTGAAAAAAATTCTTTAGATACTCTATACAAAAAAAAATGTCTCATCACCATAGACATAATTAATGTAATGGACATTCGTATGGATCACACATTATAAATTCTTTCCAAAAATAAGAACATACTCAAAAAAAAATCTCCGTTGGGTATGATGATTAACCCTTTGGGAACGGGATTTATTTTTGAAAAAATTAAGTTTTTTTGTTAAAGTTAAAACAGATGTTTATTCAATTAAAACTCATTATCAAAAATGTTTTAGGATATGATTTACTTAAAAAACAATCAATTATACACAATCCAACAAAGGAAAATTACTCTATAGGCTATTTTCACTAAGTTCTGATTGATTTGATGTATATGCGATCGTCGAATTTTGAGAAATACTCAAAGTGGTATAAATGCCACATCCATCACCAAAGGGTTAAAAAGTCTTTTCGTCTTTCAACTTTCTTTTAGAAATTCAGAAACGTTTTTATCACGAAATAGTGCATTTATAATTGAAGAAAACATTCCTTAAGATATATACATTTCTTTTAAGTCTGAAAACGTATTTGTTTTGGTAAAAAGATTTAAAGAAATTTTTCGAAACAAATACAAATAAAATCATTGAATATGTATTCATCTGCTATCTTTCTATAAACTATTTCTTTGTAACCACTTAGGCATGGGTGTGGGTGTAGGTAGGTGTGGGTGTGTGGGTGTGGGTGGGTGTGGGTGTGGGTGTGAAGCATAGAATAAAACACCCACACCACACTCACACCCCACACCCACATCCCACACCCACACCCCACACCCACATCCCACACCCACACACCCACACCCCACACACACCCACACCCTCTACAATTTTAGAAAAAGAGTTTCTTATCATACACTCAGGGGTAGATTATTCTACGCTATCAACAAGACGATTTTGTATTCTAAGCACAAAGGTGGATTATTCTGCGATTTTATGAAAACGGTTTATTATTATTCTCTCAGAGGTAGATTAATCTACGTTTTCATCAAAAGGATTTATTGTTCTACGCATAAGGCTACATTATTCGATGATCGTAAAAAAAGGTTTTATTATTATACACGTATGGGTAGATTATGCTACGATTTAAAAAAGGGTTTTGTATTGTATACTCAAGGTAGATTATTCTGCTTTTGTGAGAAGGATTTATGATTTCATGCTCAAGAATTCGACTATTCTATGTTATTGTCAGAAGAGTTTATGATGCTTTTATGTATAATGATGGGTTAATCGACGATATTAACAAGAGTTTTATTGTTTCACAAAGAGGAGTGGTTTATTTTGAAAAATGTTTTGCAGTGTAGTAATTCTGATCGATATCCACTATTGAATGAAGAAAATAGAATAAGACAATTTAGTTTTCTATTATTCTCTCATCTTTAATTAGATATTCTCTAGAAAAATGAGGATTTTAATCTCTACACTTTTTAGTTGGTACTCAAAGGAGGTTCTAAAAATATTATCCAAATCTAGAACGCTAAAAACTTCAGAATCTTTGCTAAAACCTTGAGTGGTTTCTTCTCATACTTCTTTTGACAGAGTACTACTAGAAGTAATTTGAAGATCACGTGACAAATATTTTCTAATTTAGCAGGCTCCCTCCCTGTGATTAAATACGATACATTCTGCAACACTCTTGGTTGATAACGTGGTTGTAGCCTGTGCCCCTTGCCAAAATTTTTCCACAAAATAATTTAATTTCGAAAAATTTGTTAAAATACCAGGAATTTTTGTAATTTGCTATTATACAGGAATTCGTTGCATCATGTTCTCACATCAAATAATACTTATTCTCGACAGATCTAACCTGTCATTTTAACAACTCTCATTAAAGCATAAGGGAAAAGAACAAATGTCACACTTGCCTGCTTTGTCCTCCTATCCACCTCTACCTATCTTGAATCACATTATACAGAGTAGATAATAAAGGCATTGCTCCCAGCTCATATTTTCAC